CCCCGCTCTTTAGCCCCTCACTCACCTCACCTACTCCACTCCCCCCTCCATGGCCATCCAACCCACCCATCAGATCAACCCATCGAATAAGACAGACACATTCACACACTTAGGTAACGTGCCGTACACACGTCTGGACGCCTCTCGTCCGTCCGTCCGTCCTTCATATCATTCGCCGAGTCTCGGCGCCTGGCAGAGTCCGGAGACGTACGCGCGGATGTCCTCAGGCTTGGCGCGCAGCTTCCAGTGCCTCATGCCGCGCATCAGCTTGAGCACCCAGCAGTTGAGCTCGTGGCAGCTGCGGAAGCTCTCGTGGCCGAACTCGCGGTACCAGTCACGCAAACAGATAGTGCGATCCTGCAGCCAAGCCCAGCCACAACGAACGACACACAGGACAACCAACACGTGACAAAAGGACACAACAGAGACACGCTCTGCACGGCACTGCACTGACCTGGTTCCAGACGTGTGCAAGGTAGACCGAGTAGAAAACCACCTCAAAACCCTTGGACCGCGGCACCACCAGGTCGCCCAGCCGCACGGTGCCCCGATTAGCCACACTCTTGCCACCGCCAGAAGAGAAGGAGGTCTTGCGCACGTGGCAGCCACCAGGAGGGGCAGCAGGGGCGGACAGAGCACGAGTTGTGCTCTCGGTGGCCGTGGGGGCGTCTGTGACGGAATGGTAGGGGGGAGGGGGAGGGGAGGGCGAGGGGAAGGGCGATGGGGAGGGGTCGGCCTGGTCGGCGATGGGTGGTGGGTAGGTGTTGGTGTCGTCATTGTGGTGTAGCTGGAGTGCCTCTGAGAGGTACACGAGTGTGAGGGCTAGGTCGAGGGCCATGTCGATGTGGTGGATCTGGTACTTGTACAGCAGATACAAGAGCTTCACCTGCACACACACACACATCCATCCATACATCCATCCATCGCTGCCATCACTCCAATCCATGTGTGTGTGGTCTCCCTCCCTCCCTCCATCTTGACTTGACTGACTGACCGCAAGGTGTCTGATGTCCGGCAGCGGCTCGAAGACGGCAAACACCCGCAGCTGCTCTATCGACGCCGTGAAGTTGTATGCCAGCAGGGCACACTCGGGCGTGTAGGTGTACTGCAGGAAAAACTGATAATTCACCATCGACTCGGACACGACCAAGGCAGGAGGGGGCGGAGGGGGGGACACCGGCCGCCGGGGGTCGTGATGGTGATGCTGAGCGTGATACGAGTGCTGGTCGGTGGCGAATCGGTCGGCCTCGGTAGAGGAAAAGTGGTGACCCTTCGCCGCTGCACTGGGAGACGCACTCACAGTCGACACTGAATACTCCTGCAGACAGACCACAAACACGCACACACAGACAGACAAGACAGACATCAACACGCGCCTCTCTCCGTTGCATTTGATGTGGTTGGCTCCACTCCACTCACCGGCACGTCATGTGTGCGAACGGGGCCCCTTCCGCTTCTGTCTGTGATGTCGTCATCGGACCCACCAAAGTCGGGGCTGCTATCGCCATAGTCCACCACGCCACACCCATACCCATACCCGTCGTAGCCATACCCGCCACACCCACGCATCGGCGAGCAGTCGGTCGAGCAGTCAGACCCCTTGATGCTCCCCGTCTCCGTGACGGCCCCCGCCGACGCCTCACAAGCGGCGTGTTGTTTGGCGGCGATGGCCGCCACCACCTGCGACCGGTCCGACTCGGACATGTCGGACGGAAATGACTGCGGGAAGGACGAGTAAGAGGGGCCGACATGCGATGATGACGTCTGGGGCTGCTGCTGCTGCTGGTGGTGGTGTTGGCGACTGTTGGCGGTCTGGGCCCTCTGCCCGCCGTGGCCGGCCGAGCGTGGGTAGAAGGAGAAGTTGATGAAGCTGCCGCGCCGCTGCTGGGAGGGCGGGGGGGCGTAGCTGTGGGTAGTGCTCAAGCCAATGGTCGAGGGCGTCCCCGAGCCGGTGTCGCCCCCGACGTCAGTCGACGCCACCGACACAGCCCCAGTGCCCGAGCGGCGGAAACAGGGGTCGTGCTGCCTGTCCTTGCTTGAAGATGGGTATGCAGCGCGGCCCCTCTCCCCTCCCTGTCGGCATGCTGCCGCCATATCCGTCGCCATGGCCGCTTCTTCCACAAAATTGGACCCAGGGAAGGATGGCGGCCTCAGTGGCGGATGCCGTCAGTGGCCGCGGGATGGCGCGAGGGCTTCAGCATGAATAAAATATGGGCAGGAGGCCCTTACAAGACAAGAAGGTCGGACGGAGACCATAGCTGCCCTGCTGCACCGCTGCTTCATCATGAAAGTTCCTCAATCCAAGTGACGGACTTTCGGAGCCCCCGAAGACACAAAGGATGAGGATGATGGCCGGTGAGTGCCGACTGGCCAGTTCACTGCTCTCCTCGCGCCGTTTTCACCTCACACTTATTTCATCGTCAACGAATACTTGAGCGCGCAATCGCTGGTGACAACGGACAGCTCTCTCTCCACTGGCAGTCCATCCACTCCCAAAAGATACGTAGCCCTCTCGGCTATCTCATCGTCTTGCTCTTCTGTGCCTCTCCAGGAGCGACTGTGAGCGAAGGGGCCACCCACTGCGAAGGCCAGGCCGCATTTTTCGGTGCAAGTGAATGAATGTGCCACGCAGGGGCCCGGAGAGGACAGCGGTGTCCTTCCATTGCAAGCCCCTTCCCCCACCCACACAGTCGCTGGCAGTGCCGATCAGCAGCCATCGGCCAAAATCGATGGGCAAAGCGGGACAGAGGCGCCGCTGCCGAGACGGCGAAGGATGCAAGGTGAGTCACCCACCCCACACCTGTGATTCACAACGCATGTGAAAACGGATAAATGGATGGATGGATGGATGGATGGATGGTTCGTGGTCTGTCTGGCCTCCATCGTTGTTTGTTCAGATGTGTCTCTCGAGTCTGAGCGTCCGCCTCTGTGGCTGCGTGGGTTCAGCATGGCGTGTTTCGTGGCGTACGTGTTGTTTGTGTTGGGTGGCGTCGGGCTTTGCGGGTATCTGTTCAAGACCAGGGAGTACTCCAGGGTCATTGCAGTCAGGACCTGACGCTGTCGACCATGGGTGGACGGTACGTACGTGTGTCTACATAGACGGATGGATGGAGGTATTGCCGATGTGATGGACGAGCAGATCAATCCTACATCGAGCCACATACATCACGGCTTCGGGTAGCTGTCTCATGTGTCTCTGCCTGGCTGCCTCGCCAAGAAGGGCAAATCATAGTCCCAGCATAAGCGGCCACTCATGTCGGAACCATGTCTCGCATTTCTCGGCGGGACAGCCAGACACCAACACATACACCGCTATCTTGGTCGGTCACACACACCAAATCACATACATACATGTGATGTGCAGCACAGCATACATATACACAGCCGTCTCTTGTCTGACTGACAGGAGTCGATGTTTGTTTGGGGGAGACAGACAGACAGACAGACAGACAGAGAGACAGACATAGGCAGCCCCTCCTTAACGCGTTCAGTCCAGGTCGTGTTGCAGTGCCACCACCCGCCTCCCGAGGCCCTCCTGCACACACAAACACCACACAAGCCGTGGCATCAGTCTGCTGCCTCCCCACCCACCCACCCACCCGCACCCTCACCAGCTGTGTGATGACTTCATCCAGCCCGCTCTCCTCGATCGCCCGTGCGTCCCTCCGCAGCCTCCTCACGCCCGCGTTCAGGTCCTTGGTGAGCGCCTGGTAGTGCGGCCCGCAGATGTGGGCCATCCGACGCCAACACTCGCACAGGTACCACTCCAGCTCAGACCTGCATCCATCCACACAAAAAAATCACCAAGCAGTGTATCGTTTATGTGGCCAGGCTGACCTCATATCGTCAAGTTGCCTTCGCTCGCTGTCCAGCAGCGGTGGGTTCAGAGGCGATGGACGCTGCTGCTGCTGTGGCTGTGGTGGTGTGTGTGTGGGGTGGTGGTTGTGTCGTGAAGCGATGAAGGTCATGTGTGCGACCACCAGGCGCATGAAGATGTCGGCTGACCAGTAGGCGACCCTGTTGGGGGCAGTGTTCATCATGGCCAGCAGACACCGAAGCGCTGACAGACAGACAGACAGACACGGGCGATACGTGCAGTGCATGTGATCCGTCTAGTCCGTCTCTCTCTCCCTCTCTCCCTCTCTCCCTCTTCTGATGCTCACTCACTCACTCACCAGCTCTGCAGCAGGCCGGGTGTGTGGACTCTAGGCCGTGACACACAAGCGTCACCCACTCCTAGAGGAAACACGCCGACACACGGACAGACAGACAGACAGACAGACGTCGCAGTCACAAACCGATATATATACCAGTCTTCTTGACCTACCTTGAGACTGAATGCGAGCGCCTTGCCCAGTTTGCCGATGAGCGGCAGCGACGCGTCGAGGAACACTGCCAGCCGGGGGTATGAGGCCAGCATGCGACGATGGGCGGCCTCCAGCAGCTGAGCCACCCTGGTTGGTATATACACACAAACCGCCCCGTGCGTGGTGTTCTGTTCGCTCCTTTTCTCCCTCCCTCCCTCTCTGTGTGTCCTGTCCGTCGTCTCTCACTCACTGTGCCTGCATGTCGAGCGACATGGCCTGTGGGTAGCACTTGACCAGAACTCGTGTGTAGGTGTCAACGTAGGCCTCCAGATACACGTCGTCATGGGAGTCAAACGGCACCGCGTTCTTCAGCGCCTGCAACGCGGTACAAGGGGAGATTGGGATCGTCTGGGTGCCCTGTGTGTGCTGGGCTGCCTGGCTGCCTGGCTGTCTGACCGCTTGTATGGGCACAGTGAACGGCCTCAGCTCTGCACAAGACAACAGAGGATGGAGGACTGAAGGCATCGACGATTGGATGGGCTCTCTGCGTCGCTCAACTGATGGGAACGAGAGGGAGACGAGGCCGCCAAGGCTCCGCAGCACGAAGTACCGCAGGTCGGCTGCACACACACAACAGTGAGTGAACCAACCGGTCTTCTTTACCTGTCTGTATATCAGCGGCTGCATTTCTGCCATATATAGGTTACGTCTGAAAAGCTCCATTGTCCTCAGCAGCACAGCCAGCCACTCAGCAACATGGCCCCTCACTTGCTCATACTGCAGACAACACACACACACACAGGGGTCAAGAGTGAAGGCATCCACGAACTCCCCTTTCCTCCCCACCTCACCTTGACAGCCTCACTGACGAGGCCGAAGTGCGCCGCCCTCGCCACCACCATGGCGTGCCGCGCACCCCTCTCGCCGCCATAGAACAGCCCCCTGTAAGACATCTCTATCTCCTCATCAACCGACCCGCCGACCCGCCGCACCCCAGACAGCGGGTCCCTCTCGCCCTCTATGAACACACCCCTGTCGGCCTCCTCCCCTTCCCCCTCCCCCCCGCACTTCTCGTCGCCCTTGACGAATGTCTTGACGTCTTGCCAGCCCCTGTGGTCGTCGGTGCGCCGGAAGCCGCGGTGTGGGACGCCGCCTCTCGTGAGGAAGGGCGACAGGAGGGATGGGAGGGAGGGGAGTGAAAGGGAGAGCAGGGTGGACAAGGGGGCGGGTGTGGCACATGGGTCGGCCGATGGATGGTCTGATGTGAAGTGGGAGAGAAGGGTGTCAAGCAGGCCTGCAGAGATGCACCAGTATATGTAATGTGTACCTTCTCCTCTTTCGGATCAATCCGTTCTTTTTTACCATTGGCCGTCTTCCTGGCTGAGTCGTCCCAGAGGTAGGGACAGAGTGGCGAGCGGTGGTGGCTGGAGCCTCCTGCTGATGTCTCGTGGGCGTCGTCACCGCTCTCGGATGGCGGAGGGGGCGACACAAACGCACCTATCAGTAACTGAAACCACACACACACACACACACCCCACAGAGATGCATTCATGGAATACATCCTGTTGGCTCCGCCACTCCCTGCCTCCGTCCGTCAGTCACCAGGAGCTTCTGCAGGCATTCCTTCCCCTCTGCAACCGCCTCACGCGACTCCCACTTCCATCGCACTGTTTGACTCTCAGTCTCACCGGCGAACCCTTCAGGCGCAGCCACCTCGCCCTCGCCCCGCAGCACACAGCCAACCTCACTCAAGCGACGGGCCACCAAAAGCGCCACCCTCGTCTGGAGGTCGGTGGTCTTCTCATGGTCGGTGAGAAGGGCCAGCAGGTTATCAAGCCGCCACTTAAGGCCGTGGTTGGTCGACAGGATGGCCAGGTACCGATGGACGAGAAATAACGAGGGCGACGGGGGGAGGGGGAGGGTGGTGCTGGCGTGACGCAGAAGGGCCAGGGAGGGGGAGGGGGAGGGGGGAGGGGCGTGTGGCTGTGCGTGTGGGTGTGGGCCGTTTTCCTCCTCTGGTGGGTGGGCGGCTTCTTTGGTAGGTGTGAGGAAGCCTGTCCTGATGCCGTCTGACGAGCGTGTGGGGGTGGACGTCACAGATTGCGGCAGCCGCTGCTGCTGCCGCTGCTGCTGCCGCTGCTGCTGCCGCTGCTGCTGCCGCTCCGACGCGTCACTTGTGGCGACATCCAGCCACTCGCAGACCTCCAGCAAGGCTGACGGCACACACACACACACAAAGGTCAGCGCTGCATACACGTATGAATGCATCGCTGAATGAACGAATCGATGGATGTACCCGTATCCATGGCTTCGCTGTCCTCCTCGGTCCCCGCCTTGTCCGGCACTCTCCACGCGGCGCCGCGCCACCACCGCATGCCATCCAGTATCACCCCGCCCCACTCATCCAGCCGCTCACGGCAGACGGCCTCTCTGTCTGCCCGACCCGATGACCAGACGTCCCTGATCTCCCGGATGAGGGCATGGTGGTGGCCGAGCAGCCGCGAGGAGAGTCGTGTCAGGTTCTCGGCGGCCTCTGTGGGCGGTGCTGCGTTGGTGGAGAGGCGGTCGCAGAGGGCCTGGGATGAATGGACACACACCCATATACACAAGAGAGAGAGAGTGCGAGTGCATGTCGAAGGGCGGTGGTGTCTGGTTGTCTAGCTCACGGTACGTACCTTGAGTTGGCTGACGGTGGACCTGGCAGCTTGAATATCGAAGAGATCAGCCACCTGCACACGGACAGACACGGTCAACGCAACCCCGCAGAGGCATTCAGCGAGATGGGCACATCTCATCTATCCAGGCATAATACCTCGTCGGTGTCCGCCACGCTGTCTTTGCCTGCCTTCTTCCTGCCAGTGGCGCCTCCGTCGTCAATGTCTTCTCCTCCATGCATGATCTGACCTTGTTGGCGCTCCATCGCACTCATGGGCCAGCCGATGTTTCCCTCAGCCTACCATCAACAACACACTCACGTCATGATTCCGTGAAACCGCTCTCTTTAAGCTCCCTCGAAACGAGAAAAGGCCATGAATTCCACAGTGCAAGAGCGTGTCGATGTCATCATGGGAGCAGAGGACGCCTCCCTCGCCGCCTGCAAAGCACACGGCTTCTGGGCGGCTCTTCTCCGGCTTGCTGGCGCCCTCAACGTGGCTGTTAGCCATGGCATGGACATTTTGATGATGGCCGAGAGGCATTGGAATGCGGTGGACTTGCGTGACTGTTCTCAAGGCGGCTTTGCCTGCCTCTTCAAGCCGCTATGCAACCCTCTTGTCAACAGCTCGTGCAGCATCGTCGAGGGCTCCCAAGAACAATGGGACAGAATCAAGAGGACGGCTGATCAGAAGGAGAGGAGACGCTCTGGGAGACACCGATGGTCAGCATGCCCAAGCCAAGCGCTTCGATATCCCCGCAGCACCATCTCCGGCTACGACACCGGGGTAAACGACTTCTTTGGGCCATCCCTTGCTCTGGCTTTCCCCCAGGACACCCCCACATCGCAGCAAGCCTTTCTTGTCTCGCATGTGTTCCACCCGCTGCCCTTCATCGACACACTGGCGACACAGCTGCGGGAAACACTGGGGCTGAACAAGTCCGCTGAGTGTCTCGGTGTGCACGTCCGTCGGGGAGACAAGTACGCCTCGCTGGGCGAGAGCGACCGGCGCGTGTTCGAGCAGGTGTACAAGCCGTATATCGACCATGTCCTCAGGAAGGAGGGTGTCCGACATGTCTATGTCTCTACAGACTCAAAGGACATAACCACTCACCTCCAGACACAGCAGCGACAACAGAAGAGGACAATGGAGTATGTGTTTCTGCCGAGTGAGCTGCCTGGCCGTCAGAGGCCGCAGTCGCGGGATAATGCGCCGTTTCACATTGTCCGTGACTACTGGAACGTGGCGGAGGGGAGCTACAATCGGACACATGCGACCCTTGGCATCATTGTGGACTCGAGGCTCTTAGCTGGCTGCGACTACTTCATCGGCACGCACACGTCGGCAATGAGCAAGGGCGTCTTCCTCCTGCGCTATGCGAGGATGCAAAGAGCAGGGGTGAGGAAAGGACGCATAATAGAAACGACGTTCTGGCCCGACTGGCCGTCGGCAAATCTAGGTGAACAGAGGCACGGAGACATGTGAGACAGAAGCGATTCTGCATGTCGGGGTGCGATGCAGGTGGTTGGCTGGCATTTGTGTTTGGGACGTCCATCGATCACCCCAATGAGTGGGGGAGGATTGCTGACAAGGGGCAGAGAGATGAGCTGTAACTACGAGAAACACACAGCTGTGAGTTTGGGCTGTTCATTTTGTTCTCGGGTGTATTGGCTCGATGTTGGTCGATTCGTGTGTGTACTGTACAAGGCAATATTTACCGTTGTTCTGTTGACGAAGGAGTGCATCATGATGATAAGGGGACCGTCCAGTGTCACATACCCCCACACAAGACAGACAGACAGACAGACAGGGAAAAACTTGTGGCGCCCGCCCACACCACACACAGGATGACAACCGCGGTGGTACACAGACAGCCCCACGGCACACACGCACACGACAAACCCATTGGCCAAACACTATGGTTTTCGTCCTCAGCCACAACGACATGACAGCACATGGAATGAACGAATGCACACAATCCCATTCCCACGCCGGTCTATCTGTTTATCGTACAGCCAGCACACTGCCACTCACACACACAGACCAACAATGTGCTCACTCACTCACACACGACACAATACACACACGCCACCACACGGCTTGAAGAAATGCAGCATCGGCACCAGCAGGGAGGGCGGGGCTGAGCTGTCTGTCTGTCTGTCTGTCTACTGGTTCTCGCACCCAACGGTGTAGCTCACCCTGACGGCAGGCAACACAAGACAGGCATCTTCTCTTCACCTCTGAGTGTCCGGTTGCGATGGCGTGCGTGTATGGGTACCTACCTGCCCCTGCCTCTGCCTCGGCGGCCGAACAGTCGGCCGCGACGGGTGGGCTGATCACCACCCTGGCCACCGCCACCGCCGCCCTGACTCCCGGACTAAACCAACCAACGAACGAAGGAAGCGTGAGTAGAAGGATGCATTGGCTGTCGGCCCATGTGTGACTGACCTCTTCCTCATGTTGTGTCTCGGCGGCTGCTGCCTGTTGCTGGGCACTCTCACCCTCACCCTCACCATCCTCCTGACACACACAGACCAGACAACTGTCCATGTGCGACGGCCGCCCGGTGTGGTGATCAGTCAGTGTCTTTGACCCCGTCGTCATCTGTGTGTCGCTGCCCCGAGGCGATCATCTGACGCAACTGCACTCACACACACAGACACACGGAAGGCATACAAACATGCTGCCTGCGAGAGGTGTGTCGACATTGGTCTCTCTTGTGACCTGTTGGAACTCTGCGCGTGTGAGGAAGGCCCCCGTCCTGAGTGAGGTGCGGTTGCGCTCGTTGTCGGCGAGTATTCTCGCCACAGCTGGCGTCGTCACGTCCATGCTCCTTGGCGCAGTGGGGTACCAAACCTGCACACACAAGGAGACAGGCAGACAGACAGACAGACAGGCAGGGGGACGACACAAAAGAGAGAATGGCGTGTGGCACGTGGGCGGGCCATGGTGGCCTGCCTCTGCTGACCTTACCTTGACGTCGTTGTCGATTCCTGATGAGGTCAGCACTGGGTCTCGGGGGTGGCCCGCGATGCAGTTGACCACACTGCAGTCGGCATCGTGACCTGCAGACACAGTTTAACAGAGACGACACACTTTATGTATATTTTCCGCGCAGTGCCTGTATGTGATACCTACTTACCGATCCACACCAGTGAGCCGGTGAATGCGTCCCATATGAATATGCGGCCGTCGTCAGAGCCAGAAGCCGCGTACTCGCAATACGGACCCTTTGTTTATGGATGGCACAGCACAGGACAGCCAGCCAGCACCAGTGAGGGAGGGAGTGCATCACACTGACTGACGGTGACAGACAGACAGCCCCACAGCCCGCCTAGCCTACTCACTCACTCACCACAAATTGCACGTCCTTGACCGTCCGGACATTGCAGTGACCAGTGTACGTCTGAATGACAACCACACACACACACACATGGATGAAGTGAGCAGTGTGCCGCTCTCTTGTGGTCGTCTCCCCACCTGCATTTGGTCGATCATCCACGGCTGCCTGGGTAGAGGCCGTGCAGGCGACCGCGGCTGCCGGTTCCTGGCGATGGACCTCAGCAGCTGGATAAAGGGCGGCTCGTCGTCGCTGTCGTCGTCATCATCCATTGCATGTGGGGCTGCAGCACCGCCTGACCCGGACCCTCCTGACCCCCCCGCCGCGGCCCGGGAGCCAGAGCCGCCCCCGCCACCACCACCACTGCTCGACGAACTCACGGCCTTCTCGAGGCTCTCGCTGTCGTCGTCGTCATCATGATCATGGTCCTCCTTCTCATGCTCCTCGCCTTCTCCATCCTGCTGCTGCTGCTGCTGTCGCTGCTCTTCACCGGGAGTCGGTGGCCCGAACATGTCCACCTCCACGCCAGCCAGAACCTCCAACTCATCACCGCCGCCCTGCTGCTGCTTGTCGTCTTCTTTATTCCTGTCTTCCTTCTTGTCTCGGTCCTGCCCGCTGCCGGGGGCCGGTAAGTCGGCCGTGGCTGGCGACTTGTCGAGCGGCCGATGGTCGAGCACGTCTGCGGCCGGCTTCAGGTCCTGGTCGTCGAGCTCACCGTCGCCAAAACGGGGCGCCGGGAGGTTCAGTCGCCGCGACGGCACGCACAGGGGAGGACTCGACTCGCCGCTATCCTTGCTCTCGTCCTCTCGGTCCTCGTCCTTTCTGGGTCGCTTCCCGCGTGCGTCGAGGTCCATGGGCTGTGGGCCCGCGTCGCCGGTAGGACAGGGTAGTGCAGAGGGGGTGGTGTCTGGGGATGAGTTGGTGGTGTCCTTGGGTCCGTCATCGGCGCTTGACGATGCCGCTGCCGCTGCAGCGGCTCTGCTGGGCTCGGCAGCGGCTGACATGTCCCGGTCTCGCTTCGACGCCCGCTTGTCTGCCAGGAAGCGGGTGTAGCTCTCCACGCCCTGGCGACAGGCACAAGACAGACGTGATGAACCGTCCTCTTGTCTGTGCCTGGCAGATGGGTCACCTTGTCAACGTTGAACATGTAGATGTGCTCCTCGCTCCAGGAACCTGTAGCCAGGCAACCAGCGAAACAGACACACAGCTCCACGTGACTGTTTGTCTGTCTGCCTGCACCTGTGATGCCCTGTCTCGTGCACGTGTGCATGCCTACCGATGACGCGTTTGCCGTCGTATGAGATGTTGACACCGGTGAGGCGCTGGACGCGACGCTCAGGCGGCTGGTACTCTGCATGAACACGTGGACAAACACAGATAGCTACACGGGTGTGTGAGGGCAGGGTCAAGTGTGTAGGTGTCTGACCTGCTGCCGGGACGGATGGCGTGCTGGTGAAAGACTCCAAAGGACGGGGGCTCAACATGCGCCTGTGGACGGGTGGCAATACATCCAGAATACGGCATCCGTGGCCACAATAATGGATTGTGGTGCCGGCACCTGTCGAACAGCCAGATGGATGCTTTGTCGCCTCCTATCACGAAATATCTGCGATAACGAACAAGGAAGGACGGGTGTATCTTGCTGCTGATGACACCTGTGTGTATGCCGTGTGGCTCACTCAGGTCTGAGTGCCGCCAGCGAGATCGAGCTGAGCCCAACCTCATCACCACCTAGCCACAGCAATAAGAGAGCACCATGCAGCTGCCTGCCTGCCTGCCTGTGTGTTTGTCGTGGGGTGCGTACCTCCATCGAGCATTGCGAGCACATTGGCGGGCGACCGGTCGGCTGCTCTGCGTGCCATCCTGCCCAGACGACCGAAACGGGGGCGCACCTCAGGCTCGTCACGGGCACCTGACCACCCACACAGATGGATTGCTACTCAGCGCGTGGGTGTTTTGTGTTTGCGTGGTACGTACATCTCGAGTCGTCGACGCGCAGGTCGAATTGCCGCACAGTGCCGTCCTCCGCACAGCTCAGAAACACATTACGATTGCCTGTTTCCGTTGCCAGTTTCTTGACGCGATCCTGAGTATCAGACCACAGACAGACACCAGACAGATCCCCGTTGCCCATCGGTTGTGTGTTCACTCCCGCACTCTCTCACCCACCGTATGGTCCGTATAAACGCGTATGAGCCGTCCGGTGGAGAGGTTGCACACGCGGACCTGACTGTCGGCACTGCAGCTGATGATCGTCTGATAGGTTGGGGAAAGCAAAGCATAGCAGGCACTTTGACCTAGCTATGACTGACTGACTGACTGAGTGGCTGACCTCGTTGTCAGTCGGCATGAAGCGGCCACAGAAGATGTTGGCTGCAAGGGATAGTACCGAGAAAACAAGCAAGCAAGCAAGCAAGCGAGTGAGTGTGTGGCGGCATCCATAGCAGGTCGATCAGTGCATCAGTTTCCCTTGAGCTCACCGAGGTGTCCCGTTTCGATCCGCGTCCTCAGCTTGAAAGACGGGTAGTCCCACACGCACAGAGCCTGAATGAATGAATGCATGCACACGACCACCACGGCACGGCAGACAGTCATTGGTTGCGATGGCGCTCCTCTCCGTCCCTGTTCATGTCTGTGGTCCTTCCTCACCGTGTCGTCACTGCCGCTGACGAGCATGGACCCCGTCTCATTCCAGTTTATCGAGTTGACACAGCCTGTTCACACACACACACACAGACATAACACTCAGGATCACACAGCAGCCATCAAGGGCGATCAGTGGAGGAACCCGACTGACCATGGTGACTCTGAAGGGACGGGCCTCTCTTCATCCTACATGACACGCCAGACAACACAGTGAGACGCGCGGCCTCCCGCCTGCCGATTGGTGCGTGAGTACCTTCCTATCGTCGTCTTGGATGCGTAGATGCCCCTCCAGAAGCGCATCGGTGCACATCTGCCCAGAGTGCGCTCACGCACCATCCGCACCTGGGCGTTCTCGCTCATCATTTTGATCTCACACGCAAACAATTGAAAGCAGCCAGATTTCACGCCCTTTTCCTTCTGCGAGATAAGCTCGCATTGGCCAGTTCAGTTGCGCGAGGCGTTGGCTGGCGGCCCGATTTTGCCCATCGCGCAAGGCCTTTTTCAATCGCAATCAGGAGTATGGTTCGTTCAAAGCCACTTGACACCGCGCACACATAGATGGACGCATTGCTTGTCCTCATTTCTCTGCTCTTTGCTCTTTGCTCAAGCAGCGGTGTTGGCGGGCGAGGTCAGCCGTGCGTATCCAAACTGCGGCGCCTGTTGGAGTTTGACTGCGCCTCTCTCGGCCAACGCCTCCCTGACGGCCGCCGCCGCCATCCGCTCCTTCGACTTGAGGCCCTCCGCACCCAACTTGCGCAGATCGACTGCACGCACGACACACACAGCCATTTCCAACGAGACACCTTGTTCGTGTGTGTGTGTGTGTGTGGTACGGTCTTCGAGTTTCTCTGTTGCGATGAGTTTCTGTCGTCTCGTCTGCTTGGGCTCACTGTCGTCCAACTCGCCCTTGGCCGCCGCCTTGAGGGCGACACACACACAGACACAGAGAGACATTGCTTCGTCAGTCTGTGTGTGTGTGTGTCTGTGTGTGTGTGTCTGTGTGTCTGTGTGTCTGTGTGTCTGTGTGTGTGTGTCTGTGTCTGTGTGTGTCGATGTGCTACCTGTGCGAGTTGTGTGATGTTGATGCCGTCGAGTTTGATGTTTGGTTCGCCCTCGAGGTTCTCCTCGACGTGGATGTTGACGCCGCTTGGCTGCTCGACGCCCGTCGCCTCGGCCTCGAGGACGGGGCCCGGCTCCAGCGGCAGCGAGCCTTTCACGCCCGTCTTGAAACACAGCACCTCCTCGCTCAGCGCATTCATCCACACGTTGCGCGTCTGCAGCAGAGAAGACACACACAGAGAGAGAGGCAGGTGCGTCATTGTGTGTGTGGCTCGTGTGTGTGCGACTCTTCGGTTTGGGGCGCAGATGAGATCGGCGAAGCCCTCGAACAAACGAATGCCTGATGAATGGATGGATGGATGGATGGCCAACTCACTCAGATCGGCACACTTGTCGTCTCTCGAGTGTGTGTGTGGCTGACCGAAGCACTTGTCGAGTCCGAATGTCTCGAGCGGCAGTCTGATGTCTTTGATGTCGTATTCCCTGTCCTTGACGGTGCCCGAGAAGAGGGCGAAGCTGGTCTTGCTGAGGATGGCCGTGTGCACACTCGACTCCATCGCCTCGACGTCAACCACAAACCGCAGCAAACCGTGCTACTCGACACACACATCGACACACACACACACATACACAGAGAGAGAGAGAGAGACGAATGAGTGAGTGTCGATGAACGGATTGCCCGTCTCCAGACGAGTAGAGAAACAGATCATTAAGGCCGATATGTGTATCGATGTCCAGACTACAAAACCCAGCATGAGTCTGCACGCTATCAACCTAACGAAGTCGAGCCCCTCCCCAGGACTTCACCCCCCGACACACACTGCCTGCACGGACGGCTTGGCTGGCTGATGTGCCCTTGCTGTCAGAGGAAGATGCACAAATCTTGTCGCATGACCACTGCCGTCAGCCGTGATTCCTCGGGCCTGCCTTTTCTCTTGACCTCCTCCCTCTGCTCGGCACGCAGCCGACGAAGGTACTTGCTGCATGGCCATGGACACAAACTTGGTGTAACCCCCGACGCCAAACAGCCAGATCTTGCGAAGCTCACCCGATGTTACCCAAGCTGTGGTAGGCAGGCAGCGAGGCGATGGCCATGAAGCCCACCAACGTGTACTGCAACACCAGATCCATGCACACATGAAAGAAACACATCGTTTCGTTTCTTTTCAGTCCCGTATACCTTCGCTTACCAACAGCTCTCGCATTGTGCGGTTCCTCTCAGCTCCTGAACTTGGTTTTCTCTAACTCCGTAGATCGCTGAGCTCGCGGGAGAGGTCAGGCCAGTCCAGACGTCCGCATGAGTCCCTGCGACAGATCCAGTGCACAAAATTGCTCGCGCCGCAGCGGCGCTTATCCTCCCTGCACACGGGCGCATGACTGCAGGCGGTGCGCGAGCCGTCGGCAGGGAGCAGCGCCATGCGGAAGGTCATCTCTTGTCGCCGTTTGTGCCTTCGCCCTCTTGGGCGTTGCTTCCTGCTTCAAGGCGGTGACTCCGGTGTCCCACTGTCTGCCAAAGCAGGAGGAGAGGAAGCAGTCCTTCATGGTGCGGTTTCCCCTGTACAATGACACCATACGAGAGCTGGCCATGAAGGAACTCGCCCGCTTCGAAGGTCTGTGCCACTGCTGCCCTGCGTGTCACATGTGGCATTGAGCGGTGTGTTGTGTTGTGCTGTGTTGTTTTGTGTTGTGTGCAGGCCACACATACCTCGACTACACGGGCAGCGGTGTGTATCAGAGCAGTCAGCTCAAGGCCATCTACGACGACTTCGACACACACGCGTACGGCAACGCGCACAGCCAAAACCCTTCCGCTGACCTCACTGGTGCGGCTAACTTGTACCACATGCAAAGCGACAAACGGGCCGATGGGTCATGCGTGTGTGTGTGTGTGTGTGTGTTTGTGTTTGTGTTTGTGTGTGTGTGTGTGTGTGTGTGTGTGTGTGCAGATCAGCGGCTGAGGGAGGCTCGTGAGCTGTTGCTGGACTTCTTCAATGCCGACGCGCAGCAATACTCTGTGGTCTTCACCAGCGGGGCGACGGGTGCTCTGAAGATGGTGGGTGAGGACTTCCCCTGGTCGCCGAGGAGCGAGTTCGTCTACGTCAGGGTCAACCACAACTCGGTACTCGGAATCAGGTCAGCAGCCACATACAGACAAGACACACAGACACTCACACACATGAACACAGGAACGCATGTGCACACGAGGTGCGTTTGGTGTGGATGACAGAGAGTACGCCTATGCAGCTGGGGCGACGTTTCGTGCCGTGAGTGAGGAGTGGGTGATGCAGACGCTCTGGGAGAGGAAGCACAGCGCAGAGCGGGTGCAGGCGACAGTTGCGAGTCAGAGCAACGCGACGGTCGAGTGTCTGTTTGCGATGCCAGCCAAGGACAACTTCGCCGGCATGTACTACCCCAACGTCTGGATCAACGACATACAGACGTAAGGGCGCGGCGCACAACACAGGAGCACAGGAGAAGTGGCTGACGCATATGTGCGCATTGTGGCGCGTCCACATGCAGTTATGGGTTGAGCGATGAGTGTCGGTGGCGTGTGTTGGTTGACGGAGCTGCTTACGCGCCGACGAGGCGCTTTGACCTAACCGAGTACCACACGGACTTCCTCGCCATCTCATTCTACAAAATGTTCGGGTAAGTACGGGCGGGACATGTCACGAGGAGGAAGCGCATACGCTGCAGATGTCTCTCTTCGTCCGCCTGTGTTGGTCGGTGGCTCGCTGGCTTTCAGCTACCCCACTGGTCTCGGCGCTCTCTTGCTCAGGAATGACGACGCAAGAATATTCAACAAGGTCAGTCATACCAACTCTCTCCCACCCACCCTGCACACAGAGATGAATGTGTGCTGCTGTGTGTGTCTTGGGTGTCTGTCTGTAGGTGTATTGGGGCGGCGGCACTGTTGTCGCGGCAGTGTGCGACTCGCGTTGGTGCAAGATGAAGGACAACCCCTCGCTGCGCTTTGAGGACGGCACCGTGTCATTCCTGTCGGTTGTCGCACTCAAATACGGACTCGACAAACTCAAAGTGAGCGGCCTCATCCTCTCAGACACCGGTTCACTGGTCCTCTTGGTCGGTGTGTGGTCGGTTGGTCAGGCTGTGGGGATGTCGTACATTGAGCAGCACGTGTCGATGCTGACCACCTACCTGGCGGAGCAGCTCGACGCCCTCACGCACCTCAACGGCCGCCCTGTCATCTCGCGCTACGGGCGGTGGGGAGAGATGCCCACAGGCGGCATCGTCAACCTCAACGTCATGAAGCCCGACGGCTCCTACGTGAGCTTCAGCCAGGTGCAGCAGGAGGCTGCTGCCAATATGATACACCTGAGGACGGGATGCTTCTGTAACCCTGGAGCGTGCCAGGTACGCAGGGGGGCGTGCAAAGCAGGCGGGCATCCCGTGTGTTCACTGCATGTTGTGTGCAGGACTACTTGGGTTTGTCAAGTGACGACATTAAGCATGCAAGTGACGTGCGGGAGTCGTGCTCCGACCCCACAAACCCATTCGGCAGCAAACCACTCGGGTAAGCAAGGATGGAAAAGCGCCCATCTATCTTTTCGTCTGTGTTGATGTGTGTGTGCGTGTGTCAGATCTGTTCGTGTGTCGTTGGGTTATCTGTCGACCTTTGAGGACGTCGACAACTTCATCCAGTTCATCAGGGCCACATACGTCATGTGACTGTGAGTGAGTGAGTGAGTGCATGGGTGAGTGAGTGAGAGGCAGAAATCAGGTCCTGTGCGGTTTGTCCCCTTTTTCGTTGCGTCGCGTCGCGAGACGGCAAGACAGGGAGATGACAGCAGTGCAGTGCAGTGGCCCGTTCTGCTTGTCGATAGTCCCAGTGGCCTGCATGCTGTTCATGTGCGTATTTTTGGTGTGTGTTTGTGACGTCGCGATGCCACAAAAGAGTGGTGTTGCGAGGCAATTCATGTGTGGGAAACTTTTGGTGGGACCTTGTGTGTCATATCTGAAATCGTACACGTGCCACAGCTCTTGGGGCAGCGGGCATAGTTGGAGTATCAGCAGTAGCTCGGGGTAGTGACTGACAAGCATTCGTGACGACGGAGGTGTCATGGACACACAAGCTTGGGTCCACAAGCATTACAAACTCATGTCTTGCAGCTCGCCCGTGTAACTCGTCCTCTCTGCTCTAAGCGGGAAAAGTAGGAACGACGATCTGGCCAGATCTGGGGCTTCGAGCGGTCGGGTTGGGATGGCAACGTCAGCCAGGGACAAAGCTGTGGCCATCTTTGACGGGGCAAACATCTGGGTTGGAATCAGCATGCTGAACGAAGGAAGGATGCGATGACATTGTGTGTTGTTCAGGAAGACTACGAGGACAAGCACGGCTGTGAGCTACATGTCAAGGCCTTCATCGAGTTCCTCAAACACGTGGAGGACATGCTGGGAGTGCCGATATCGCAGACGTACTTGTACGAATCTGATCCTGACAAATGGTTGGTCAGCACAGAAAGGGGAGGAGGGAGGAGCGTACGTGGCGTGCTTCATTGCAGTCCTGCGTGCTGTGTAGGCTGAGCGTCGTGGGTCGCAATGCCGACACTGAGAGGAGAGCACGCAGGCGGAAAGCGTTCCACAACGGTCTGGCGCACGAACGCATCTGTATGTGCACCAAATACGGCTTCAAGGAGAACAGGAAACAGCGGGGGGTCGATGTCGGCATAGCCTTGCGGGCTCTTGAAGTGGCACGCGGTACAAGCATTAACAAGCATATGTACGGCACGCATCGATCCGGACGCATGTCCTCTTGTCTTCGTCAGCCGCTGTCAAGGGGGGCATCAAATGGATCATTCTGTAATCCAAAACATTCTGCAATCAGCACTGCTCTGGAGGTTGTTCTGGAGCATTGTTGCTGTTGTCCCCATTTGACGTGTCAGGGGTTCAGGAGACTCTGATTCTCTGAGGTCGTCGACGAGTGCCGCCAGCTGGGTTGCAACGTCGCCATTGCGGGATACAAGAAGAGCATGGCGTAACACACAGCACGAAACACGTGTTCTGCATAAACGCTAGGTTCGGCGTGTCTGTGTGTGGCTGTGTGTCTCAGCGGTGAGTTGACGTCCAAGCCCCAGGAGGTCCGGATCATCTACCTGGACGAGGTCGAACATGCGGATGTGCAGCGGCCAGCTGTCACGTTCGCAGAGGGCACGAACGGGTGCTCCTCCTCTCGCGGGCGTTCGCAGTCTCGGTCTAGACCAGGAGGGCGCTCTCGATCTGCCTCGCGCCCCCCTCACGTACGCGTGCACAGACGATGCTGAGACTGGCAGGAAACACACACAGAGAAGAGCGAATTGTGCGGTCTTTAGTATCGATACGGTCAGCGCCAATCGACCAGCATGGATTCCCAGCGCGCGATGGAGTCTTGGTGCTCTCAACGAATCTCTCTATCGGTGGTAAGTAACTGGCAGAACACAACACAACACAACACACTAGGGACGTTGCATTGCCACTGTGTGTACGTGTGTTTGTGTGGCATGTGTATCAGAACGCGGACAGCCGACTGGACATGGCCGAGGCTTCGGCAAGAGTGCAGGACAACACTGTCGAAAGCAACGTATGCCACCAAACACACACACATACACACACACACATACAGTGCGGCACACACTGACAGCCGTTTACCTGTGTGCTGATTGTATTCAGGACACTTCTCGCTGTGTCTATACCAAAGACACTCTCCTCCAGCACAAGCCACCGGTAAGCGGAGACCAAATCGTATAGGCGCCTGCTCATTCCGCAGGTGCGATTGGTGCATATATACGTAGGTGAGCAACAAGCCGCCCGAGGAACTGGCCAACTTGGAGCTGGCCAACTTGGGCGACGTGCCCGTGGAGCGGCAACCTGGAAGAGAATTACGGGCGGCCAGGAAGAGCAGGTGAGCGCCCGACTGGGGAGTAGCTGGACGTGTATCGATGTGTGAGTGTATGTGCGTGTTCATGTGTACCCCCTCTCTCCTGTGTGTGTGCGTGGCGTGCTGTGATTGCAGCGATTTCCCCTTGGGGACCATTAAGCCTTTGGTGCCCCTTGGTGCACGTATCGACGATTTGCTCAACCAGCTCACCGACGATACGTTCGAAAGCATCGCCGAACAGCTTGATATGTGATCCGCCGGCTTGGCGGACGGCATGCATATGTAAGTGTATGTCTTGCCTATCTGTATTGCGGTGATTTCAGCTGTGCTAGGCGAGCAGCTGCAGAATGAAAAGGAGCTCGAGGTATTCGTCGGTATCGTCTTCGAAAAGGTCCGTGGCATAGACGCAAGACAAATACGGAATATTCTGCATGTGTCTGTCGGCGTGTGCGTTCGATTGGATTCACGCAGGCCGTGTCTGAGCGTAACTTCAGCGGGATTTATGCCGACCTGTGCCAGATCCTCAGGTGGCGGTCGCTGGAGTTCACAGGCGAGAAGGAGAGGCGCAGGACCTTCTACAACATGCTCCTCAACAAGGTCCAATCTGAATTCGAAAAGTGAGCGACCGAGGTGACCGCACACACAGACGCACACGGACACACCCACGTGGTTCATGTGCTTGTGTGTGGAAACAGGTTGCCAGAGACCAAGATGACGTTGAGCGATGAGGACAAGACGAAGCTCTCGCCCGCCGACCAGGAAATCAAGCTCAAGCAACTCAAAGACCGAACACTTGGAAGTGGGCATCTCATGTGACACACATACATTCATCCATCCACTCACTCATCGATTCATCAATCTGTCTGCGATCGGTATATCAGACATCAAGTTCATCGGCGAGCTGTTTCTGCGTCGCCTGCTGTCGGCCAAGGCCGTCAAAGAGGTCGTCACCTCACTCATCGGCGCGGATGCATCCTACTGTCCAGAGGAGCTCTTCATCGAGTGCCTTTGCGAACTCATCACCACTATCGGTACTTCACAAACAAACAAACAAACAAACACATCAAGGGAGAGGACGTACAGACAGACAGGCAACGTGTGGTCGCCATGGGTGCAGGATGGAAGCTTGACTCCACTGACGCCGGCAAAAGCCTGTTGACGGTCTTCAGCAGACGCATGAGGGAGCTCAAGGCCAAGGACAGATACTCCGAGCGAATCAAATCCACACTACAGGTACACACCTGGGCAGGCAGGCAGGGAGGGAGGGAGGCAACCTTGCATGTCCATTTGTCGGTCTCTCCCTCCCTCACGCCATCGTGTGTGTGTGTGCAGGATGTATTGGATTTGCGTCAGAACGGCCGGCGGCAGAAGGTGCACAAGGAGAAGGCAAAGGCACTCAGGGACGCCAGAAAGGACCTGAGCACACATTTCACACACACACACACACACACACACACGCCGAAGCAGTAAATCCCATAAATGTGTGTCGCGTGCGTCCGTCCAGGTTGAGAGTGGCCAGGCGATGGTCGTGGATGGCCCGTCACAGCAAGTTACCTTCGAAGTCGTCGGCAGAAGAAATGGCGTACGCAGACACACACCAACAACACGCCACTTTTCTCACAAAACTTTGTCGGTTGGTTGGTTGGTTGCTTTGTTGGTCGGTTCATCCTTCAGACGATCTATGCGCCCTACATGGATAAGCAGCTCGAGATGTTCGAGTCCAAGGAAAAGGCGAAAAAGGAGAAGTCGGAGACCAGCAAACAGACGCAAGCACCCACCGCCCCGTGAGCCGATACGTGCCTTTCATGCTTGCCCTCGTCACCAGTTGTCTGATCTGTCGTTCTTGGTGTTTTGCCTTGATATAGGAGGTCGCAGTGCTTTCGCGCTAACGAGAAAGAGCTGCTCCCTGCTCCATTTTGCCATGGGTCCTGAGAGGGAGCGGTTACCGGCGGAACAGGCAGCAGGAGAGGGGGGAGGAAAACAGCGAGGAGAGGGGGGAGGAAAACAGCGAGGAGGTGAATGAAGCCGTGGTCTAAGTGGGTCTTCCTTTCTCATTTTTTCCGAGGACATCACGTGCGTGTTGTTGCACACATGCCTTTGCTGTGCGTGTCTCTGTTGTGTCGTGTGGTCCCGTGTGTACGTGTTGCTCTCCTTCAGTGCACCTCTCTGAAGAGTTTATCATCTTTATGAGAGGCCATGAGTTTGTCTCCGTCCGTGCTGCCGTGTATTGCATTCTGCACGCCACGCCGTGCGTTGGCTCGACGTACGTCACTTGTAGCGGCACTTTTTTCGCATGAATGCTAGACACGCAGACAAAGGAGAGAGAGACAGTCAGACAGACTCTTGACGTCTCGGCGAGAAATCGGTTGATGAAGATGAGTATCTGAATCTTGAACAGTGTTGGACCGAACGTACCACTTTTTTGATGAATGAATGAATGCATGTGTTCGGAGGGTTTCAGGTTCAGGGTTTGGAAGAAACCCCGAGCCTCTGAGGTCGAAGCATTCTGGCGCTGCTGAGAAGGTGCCGCCCTGATCAGGCATCGCCTACCATCGGCATGATGTACGTGATCTGGAGCATAGTCTCGTTCATCTCGTCTTCCGCGCCAGCCACAGCCTTTATCAGATCCCCTGCAGCATCACCCGCCTTCTCTATCCCCTCCCTGCGCAGTACATCCCTCCACAGGCGCCACCTCCTCAGCTCACGGCGAGCAGAGCCCGGCACCAAGTATGAGGCAGGCCAGGGCTTTGTGGAGACCAAGAAGAAGAAGCCCAAGGTGAGGAGGAAGGATGACGCTGCTGCTGTGGCTGGGACGGTGCCGCCACCTGGTGATGGTGAGGTTGGCAAGGCGGCGTTGCGTCGGATGCAGCTGATGGAGATATCCAAGGACGAGAGGGAGCTGCAGGAGTTTGAAGAATACGAGATGAGGCTCAAACAGCTCAGGGAGGCCGGCAAAGACGGCAATGCAGGTCGGTGGGTGGGTTGGGTGCCGATTGACACAGACAGGCACAGCTGACTGGTGCGCCGCTTAACAAATGTTCTATTGTGACTGCCTGTAGGTACGATGCCCGAGGTGGTATCTCAGCGCATCATCTCACGGATAGTTCCTTTCTTCCTCACCCCGCTGGCCTTCGCCTTTTCGACATTCATCGGCGGTTTCCTGCTCTACAGCCAGTTCGACTACCGCATCGAGCCCAGCATCATCGCATACATCACACAATTCAGCTTCCTACTCGCACTCGGCGGTGAGTGGCCACCCTCTCAGACACACGGACCCTCACAATGCGACGGCCGTCCTTCCTTCCCTCCTTCCTGCCTGCCTGTCTGTCTGTCTGTCTGTCTTCTGTTGTTTTGTTCAGGTGTGAGTTACGGCATTCTGTCATCGTCCTGGGAGGAGGACCGCGAGGGCAGCTTTTGGGGCGCCGACGAGTTCAAGCGCAACATCAAGCGGGTTGCGTCAGGGGTGCGGCAAACGGTCAAGGACACCGAGACGCGACAGCGGATGGAGACGAGGAGGGACATGGTCATCAAGTACAGGCAGGACCAGCAGGCCATGGACGACATCAGGGGCCGCGGCGGCGGAGACAAGACGGCATGAACGTGAATGAGTGAGTGAGTGAATGAGGGAGTCACGGCTTTTTTGGTTGAGGGCATCGAATGACGGTGTGCAGAGAGTCATGTTGGTTGATGCATGTTGTATGTATGTGGTCTGACGAATGATGCGGTATATATTGTGAGACGACATGCATTGGATTGAACACGTGTACGTATACGTACGTCAATCAATCCATATGTATGATCGATCCTGATTGATGGATTGATTGATTGACTGACAAAAACACAAGCACAAACGCGCAATCAAGCACCGATGGTGGCCATGCGGTTGGCGTGTGTGTGTCTCTGTCTGGCTGCCGTCGGCCGTGTCCTTGCAGCACCGCCCGCAGAAGCACAGAAAGGTCAGACAGACAGACAGTAAGACAGACAGACAGAGTGAGAGGCAGTCATGTGTTGTGTTGTGTGTGTGTCTTGTTTGTGTGAGTCAGCGTCGAATGCGACTGCTGGGAAGGCTCAGCAGCCAATGCGCAAGTGTGGCGACGGCATGGTTAGCAATCCGTTCATCGACACTCACTCATTCGTCTCTCTGTCTCTCTCTCTCTCTGTGTGTGTGTGTGTGTGTGTCGATGTGTGTGTCGAGTAGCACGGTTTGCTGCGGTTTGTGGTTGACGTCGAGGCGATGGAGTCGAGTGTGCACACGGCCATCCTCAGCAAGACCAGCTTCGCCCTCTTCTCGGGCACCGTCAAGGACAGGGAATACGACATCAAAGACATCAGACTGCCGCTCGAGACATTCGGACTCGACAAGTGCTTCGGTCAGCCACACACACACAGAGAGAGACGACAAGTGTGCCGATCTGTGTGAGTTGGCCATCCATCCATCCATCCATTCATCAGGCATTCGTTTGTTCGAGGGCTTCGCCGATCTCATCTGCGCCCCAAATCGAAGAGTCGCACACACACAAGCCACACACACAATGACGCACCTGCCTCTCTCTCTCTGTGTGTGTCTTCTCTGCTGCAGACGCGCAACGTGTGGATGAATGCGCTGAGCGAGGAGGTGCTGTGTTTCAAGACGGGCGTGAAAGGCTCGCTGCCGCTGGAGCCGGGCCCCGTCCTCGAGGCCGAGGCGACGGGCGTCGAGCAGCCAAGCGGCGTCAACATCCACGTCGAGGAGAACCTCGAGGGCGAACCAAACATCAAACTCGACGGCAACAACATCACACAACTCGCACAGGTAGCACATCGACACAGACAGACAGACAGACACACACACAGACTCACGAAGCAATGTCTCTCTGTGTATGTGTGTGTGTGTCTCCCTCAAGGCGGCGGCCAAGGGCGAGTTGGACGACAGTGAGCCCAAGCAGACGAGAAGACAGAAACTCATAGCAACAGAGAAACTCGAAGACCGTACCACACACACACACACACACACGCGAACAAGGTGTCTCGTTGGAAATGGCTGTGTGTGTCGTGCGTGCAGTCGATCTGCGCAAGTTGGGTGCGGAGGGCCTCAAGTCGAAGGAGAGGATGGCGGCGGCGGCCGTCAGGGAGGCGTTGGCCGAGAGAGGGGCCACAAAACTCCAACAGGCGCCGCAGTTTGGATACGCACGGCTGACCTCGCCCGCCAACACCGCTGCATGAGCAAAGAGCAAAGAGCAGAGAGCAGAGAAATGAGGGCAAACAATGCGTCCATGTCTGTGTGCGCGGTGTCTGTCAAGTGACTTCGAATGAACCATGGCACATCGTTCTGAACGATCTGCCAATCTGTTTTCGCCGGGTTGTGTAGAAGTTTCATTCACACTCGCCGCAGCACGCACACACGCACAGCGTCAGTCTGTCCGTCTATCCGTCCTTTGAAAGCAGCATGCAGCCACACGCCTCACGAGAGAGTGACACCCCCCCAATCCAAGCACACCATACACGATCTTTCTCTCAAGACATGGCTGGCTTCGGTCTAATGGATGGACTGCATGGAATGGACACGTACGCATCCAATCCACGCAGACAGACGGATGGATGCGTATCGTGTGTCGTATATGTGTGTGTGTGTGTGTGTGTGATATTGCACTCATATCATGCCTCCAGCGGTGTGCGAGGGAGGATGAGTGCTGAGCCGGCCGCGGGCCCTCTTCCTGCATGAGCCACACAACACAACCAAACATGGCACTGACGGCCCATGGGACACTGAACACTTTCTTCTGTGTGGGGCCCTCTCTGCTCACCTTCTGACGGATAGCTGCTCGTCTTCGTCGCTGCTCGACTCCCCCTCGTCGTGCTCGTGTCGGTATCTCTGTGGCGTGTGCTCGGCCACCGGCATGCCCGTCGTCACGGCCGCCGGGAAGAAGGCGGGCAGCGGATGTGCCTGTTGAGCACTGTGGTGCGGCGGCGTCGGTGTGGTGTCGTAGAGGCCACCACCACCGCCACCGCCACTGGCAGACACACTACAGGCGACGCGACAAGCGATAAACAACTGGTGCAAAAGGCACACAGATCCAGCCAGAGTGAGATGTGACCCGTGGTCTGTCTTCATTTCAGGTGTGTGCAGTCCATGAATTACCTCGTTCCACGGCTCCCCGACGGCCGTATCTTCGCCAAACCCCCAGCTATCCTCGTGCATATCTCCGCCGCACATGTCGTCCTCGTCCAAACCCCCCTCCCCCGCCCCCATGGCCACATCCGCCCCTCCCAGCATCCCCCCGACACTCGCCAACGACATGAAGCTGAGGCCGGTAGCGGGGCTGCCCGGCAACATCTGCGTGTCGTCCTCAGCGCCGTCATCACCACACATCTTGAGACTGTCGCTGTGACCGCCGCGGTCGCCGATGGTGCGGCTGATGGTGTGATGTAGCGACGAGGGGGGGAGGGAGGAGGGGGAGGGATCGTCGCTGTCTACGAATGAGGGGTCGGTCTCGGTGTTGGTTTGGTGTATGTGGTGTTGGTCCACGGGAAGTGAAGGCTGCATCTCGCAGGTGGCGAGTTGGAGGGTGGGCTGGGGAACGTGCGGGGCGGGATCCCCTCACTCGCTCGCTGCATGGGATACAGACAGACAGACGTACGGTGTTGGCTCATCTCCCGCTGATGTCCGTGCGTGTGGGTCCTGCTGGCTCCGCCGCCCTTCTTACCCTCACGTACTCGTCCATGACGTCATCCTTCTCGTCGGTGACCCACTGCGCGCACACACAGGACACGTTTACGCGGCTCGTTCACGCTCCCTCCCGCTCTTTGACCCACCTCGTATCCGGGGAGGTCTCCGAGTTCGTCCCACACCGTAGTCTCCCTGGTTCTGCGCCTCCTGCTCCCAGGAGGAGGCGGCTGGACATACGTATGGGAAAGATCCGCCATAGAAGTGGCCAAAATCCGACAAATCTGTCAACTACAACGTCGCTGAACGCCGCGGAAAGGGCGCCAGACGTCAAACCTGCGGCCAGGATTTCTCGCGAGCTATTGTGTGTAAACTCCGAATCCACAAAAAAATGACCCCTCTCGCGTTCCTGTTCGTTCTCCCTCTCATGGCCGTTTCAGCCTTGTCATCGCAGGATAACGTCGGCCCGATTCAAAAGGTGCATGGCCGACAGCACGGCAGACGAGGTCTCGTCAGATCTATCGTGTTTGTGTGTGCGTGTGGGTGTGCAGGTGCTGTCGTTGCTGGCTGACATGGAGAAGAAGGTGGTCGATGAGGGCAAGACCGAGCAGGAGCAGTTCGCCGCCTACCAGGAGTGGTGCAGATCTGAAGACGACAAGAAGGGAGATGCAGTCGCTTTCGGCGAACAGCACATACAGGTGGGTCGGCCAGCCTCGCTGCCGTCACATAGCTACAAAGAGATCTACAGATGCGCCGCTGTGTTGTGTGTTGTGGCGTGTGCAGGACGTGAGCGCGACGCTTGAGAGTTTGAAGGCCGAGGTGGCCGAGTTGGGCACCCAAATTGAGGAGCTCAACGCCGGCATCAGCACCAATGAACAAGGTGAGGAGGTGGGGAGAGGACAATGGGATAAGAAGGGCGGCTTTAGTGTTTGCCGTATCTATTTTGCAGATTTGAAGAAGGCCACGGAGATTCGCGACAGTGAGCGCGAGGCGTTCGTTGCCAGCGACAAGGAACTCAGCGAGACCCTGGACGCCATCGTCCGGTAAGGAATACACAGACAGGGGAGGGAGAAACAAAGGCTACCATGGCTGGATCCTCCTGGTGTGGATGTCTGTGTGTGGTTTCCTTCTCAGGGCCCTGAACATTCTGAAGAAGTCGGGGTTCATCCAGATCGTTGGAGGTCGGGCGGACGTGGCCAACGCTGGCCTCAAGAGCGACCTGATGACGGTGGCGACCTCCCTGCAGACCATCGTGGATGCGTCCCTCATCAACTCCAACGACCGCAGCAAACTTCGGTCATTCATACAGGCCACAGAGGTAGCGCTATCCCGCACACAAACAGACAGACAGGCCCCATGCACGCACATACACCAGTGTGTGTCTGTCTGTGTCGGTGTGTGTTGGGGTGTGTGTGTGTGTTTGCAGGATCCCGATGACGTGGGGTTGAGCTTCGACAATCCCGAGGCCAAGGCCTACGAGTCTCACAGCGGGGGCGTCATGCAGGTCCTCGCCAACCTCAAGGAAAAGGCCATACAGGCACAAAATGCGCCAGAAAGTAAGCAAGGGTGACACCACCCGCCGGTCAAGGGATCTCTTGGTCATCTCTGTGTGCGGTGTGTATGCGTGTAGGGAGGAGATGAAGTCTCAGCATGCGTTTGAGCTCCTGGCCCAGTCCCTCGGTGACGAAATCGCAGCACAGCAGAAGGCACTGGCAGAAGCCACCAACACCAAGGCATCAAAGGAAGAGGCCATCGGACAGGTCAGACAGACACACACACCGCATTGCAACACACTCGCACGAGCATCTCTCTCTCTCTCCCTGTGTGTGCGTGTGTGTTTGTCTCCATGGGTGTGTGCACGCACGGATGCAGAACGAGCAGGATTTGTCTCAGACGACCAAGACGGTCAAGACGGACAAAAAGTACCTCACAGACCTTAAGGCCGCCTGCAGCCAAAAGGCCGCCGAGATGGAGGAGAGGGAGAGGTCGCGGGCCGAGGAGATCAAGGCACTGCAGGAGGCGCAAACCATCCTCTCCGAAGACAACTTCCAAGTACCACACAACACTCACGATTCATGCACGCCATCCCATGTCTCTCTCCGTTTGTCTGTCTGTGTGTCAGGGAGTGGCTCAGCGTCGCCTTGCCGGCGAAGCTCCCGCGTTGGTGCAGATCAAGTCCCACACTGACAGCCGCAGCAATGTCCTCAGAGAGCGGGCGGCGCAGGTGCTCCGGAGCGCCGCCCAGAAGCTCAACTCGGTGGGCCTGGCCCAGCTGGCTGTTCGCACGGCGACGGGCAACGACGCCTTCGCCAAGGTGAAGGACATGATCAACCAGATGATCGTCAGACTCATGAACGAACAGGTGCGTCATCGGGCAAAAGACGAGAGGAAGGAGACATATGTAGACATGGTGTGCGTGCGTGCGTGTGTGTTGTATTTGTCTGTGGTGCCAGGCTGAGGAGGCCGACCACAAGGGTTGGTGTGATGAGGAGAGCAAGAAGAGCCAGAAGGCGCAGGAGACCAAGTCGGGCAAAGTCGACGACCTCACCGCACGCATCGAGGAGGCTGAGGCTCACGTCTCAGAGCTCACACAGGACATCGCTGAGCTCAACAAACAACTGGCCGAAATCGACCAGGCCGTGGTACGCCTGGATGGATGGGTGGCTCGCGTGTAAACTCATGTGCCGGCGTGTGTGTGTGTGTCAATGGTGTCAAACCAAGGCGACAGAGATCCGGCAGAATGAGCACGCTGAGTACGAGGTGGCTGTCAAGGACTATGCAGACGGACAGGAGGCCATCGCCGCCGCAATACAGGTCCACACATATACTAACACGCACATTCCGTGTCTTGGGCTCTCCTCTCTCATGTGAATGCAATGCTGTCTGTGTCTGTCTGTCGGTCGTCCCTCAGGTTCTGAATAGCTACTACGCTGGTGCTGGCTCCAAGCCAGAGGCACTCATACAAGTCTCATCAAAGACAAAGGTCAGCCAGCCAGGTGGCAGACACCAAACCACATTTTCCTTCTGCTGACTGCCGCGTGTCACTCACTCGATCACCTTCCTTCAGCAAGCTCCCGAGTACGGCGGCGACATTTTCTCGGGCGCACGTGAGGTGTCCGGCGCTGATGGCGTCATCGGAATACTAAAGGTACTTATGTTGACAGACACGTAGACCGACCAACGCATCCTCACGACCATCCCTATCCCCCCCTTGGTGTGTGTGCAGGTGGCCGAGTCCGACTTTGCGCGTATGGAGGCTGATGCTCGTGCGGGTGAGGATGCGGCGCAGAAGGAGTACGAGCAGATGATGGCCGACAACAAGGTGCTCAAGGCAACCAAGACAGCCGAGGTCAAGGGCAAGGAGTCCGAGAAGAAATCCCTCGAAAACAGCATCGCCGACTCAAAGAGCGACAAGGTCTGGCAGCCAGAGGATGAACAATGTTAGGCAGAGTTTGGTGTGGTGTGATGTGGTTTAATGTGGGTACAGGCTGACGTGCAGAAGGAGTTGGATGCGATATTGGATTACATCGAGAAGCTCAAGGCCACGTGTGAGTACCAGCCCATGTCATTCGAGGAGCGACAGGCCCGCAGGAAACAAGAGATCGAGTCACTCCAGGAGGCATTAGGCATACTCAGGGGTATGTAAGCACCCATAGATGAGACAATGCCTCCCAACCAGCCGATGCATACAAGACACTCTGTCTGTGTCTCTCATGTATGTCTGGTAATCATTCAGGCAAGGATATTGCAAACATGGAGGGTGAGTCGGGCGAGTCCTTTGTGGCGCTGAGAGGGGCGGCGGCCAAGGCATCCAAGCAGGCACAGGCACTCGAGCCAAACGCATGACTGACTAGTCAGGAAGGAAACGGCAACTACTCTGCCGGTTTTCCGAGCCACACACATACTGACTGACTGAGTGGATGGATGGATGGATGCAGTCAGCTGCGTGCTGTGTCGTGCCGTCCGTGTAGGAGGCGACCAGACAGACGGACAGCCGCTGGTCAGCCAGCCAGCCAATTTGCCACGTAGGTAGGTTTATGTGGACATAGATCGTGGATGTGTGTGTGTGACCGACTCTGTGTGAACGACTCATTGGTGTGGTTGGCCAGCTGCCTGCCATGATGGTTGAAATATGTACATCGCAGCACGGCCACACTCATGAGATGAGCGATATAGATAGCTAGCTGCATTGACCAAGAAGAGACAGACACTGACAGCACCAACCAAGAGGGAAGTCAATCAGATCTTCTCCTGCTTGAGTCCTGTGTTCGGTCTCATAACACGAGAACTGACCTCACCCATGCACACGCACACGCCCATTGATTGCATTGCTTATGCCCTAAGTAATTGCCCAAGAAAGTCCAAACACCAACCAACCAAGACCACATACGACATATATACCACAGCAGCAAGGCCAGCTTCATTCATCATCGTGTCTCCCTCCCCCGCCCCGCCCGCTCAGCTCCCTCCCGGCTCCCCTCTCGGCCACGTCGGCTGCCTGATGATCTGCACGGCGCCGTAGCTATCCCTGCCGTCACTCAGCTGGGCCTCAGGGTCACCTTCATTATTCTTCTTTCTGCTGCTTCCCGACAGCCTTCTCCCTCCTCCCAGTTTTTTCTGTAGCCACGATGTGATCCAATAAAGGTGCAACAGCAGCGCCCCCGTGGTATAGAAGCCCGGCACATAGTAGTGGTAGACCAGGAGGACGATCAGCAGGATGGTGTGGTATATGACGCGTGTGAGGATGAATGCGATGCCCATGGACCAGTCGAAGCGCCACGGGGTGTGAATGTTGCCGATGGCTATCATGAGGGTGGGCAGCTCCACCACCCCGAAGAGGGTGATGATGAAGTTGAGCCGGTGCGACAGGCCGTAGCACATGATGGCCGTGTAGCAGCGTGGTGGATCCAGCCCGTCAGCATGTCGATGGCCGCCGGATACACCAGCGACCCCACCACCAGGTCCGCATGGCAGTTGGCCAGGTAGTACAGATTCGATATCTTTGCAGGCCACGGGTCGCTCCTCACTATTGCCCGGAAGCCCCGCTCGTTGAAGCCTCCCCTCACCACGATCTCCACCAGCGCCCAGCAGCCGAAGCTAAACACGATCATCCCAGCCAGCAGCGTCATGAGCCACGAGTCGGCCTTCTGGGAGTCGCGGTACTCGGCCCCGCACACGCGCAGCACGGTGCGGCAGATGAAGTATAGCGCCGTGTGGCCGACGAAGAAGCACCCGTAGATGGTCCAGAGGAAGGGCTTGTCGACGAAGAAGAAGTCGCCCAAACTGGTGAGCTCCTGGAAGGGCCAGGTGGCGGCGATGGCCACCGACGTGGCCCCCACAAAGGCCGTCATGCCGACCATGAACTGCGATAGCTGCTCAGAAGGGGTGGGAGGGGGGAACTGCACACACATAACAGACAAAGACATCAAAGCACACACACGAGAGGATGGTGGTTCTGCGTACGCTTCGGCCAGGTGAGTAGAGGAGTGGCTTCTCGGGTCCCTCGTCATCACTGCTTTTGGCCGACAAAGGTGGGGAAGCTGCTGGAGAGCCCACAGGAGCATCATCCTGTACGGGCGCCTCCTGCACTTGCAGTGATGGAGGCTCCAGGAACCGGCTGGAATGCTCCGCGTCGCCTTGGGATTCTGGCATCATAGAACAGGGAAACGAGGGGGCGGAGGGAGAGAGGGCCTTTGAGTCCCACAGTGCAAGCAGGCCGTCAAGGCCTCATCAGCTGAAGGGGCAGCTCTCGCTGTCGACCGTGCAAAGGGCTTCAACCTCCAACCTCGGACCGGGTGAGTTCGTGGGGCCCGCTGTTTGTTGCATACCAGCTTTTCGCTGTCCTGCTGGAAACCTGGTTGGTAGGGGGGCGTCGCTCCCTGGGTGTTTCACCTGATTGGAGATTTTGAGCTCGCAAACGATCGCACGTGAGCTTGCAGTGACCAGGGTTTTGAAGAGGACGGCATGTTCCCTTCCTTGACCCTCAGGGAGGGCATGCCTATGAATGTTGGTTGAGTGAGTTTGAGGATGAATGCCGAGCCTTCGTTGCCGAGCGCATTGGGGAGGTCCCTGAAGAAAAGGCCAAAGGAAGGTGTTGGTGAAGAGGGTGCAAGGCCGCAGACCGATGGAATGCCGCAAGATCACCCGTCAACTCATGCGCAAGGTGAATAAATGCGCATGGATTGGAATGATGGATGTGCGTCTGTCTGTTCGTCTGTTCGCAACAGGCGGCAGTGTGCGTGAGAAGGCCCCGCTTGCCGACCGGCAGGTGGATAGCGATGCCAGACCACAGATGCACCGATCTGCAGCCGGTGATGGCCCAGTAGCAGCGCCACCACCAGCAGCAGAGGACGGGAGGAAGCCAGGAGCTCATCTCGTCAATGCCGGCCAGCCCATCGCCCCTCATAGCCAGTCTGTCGCTGCGCACATCGGTGCCTCTGGTGCCCATGCTGACGCAGCAGGCGCCACAGACGTCCGCCAATCAGACCACCCCCCTGCCCCTTCCCCTCCCCCTGCCAACCCAAACCTCAAGCCCAAGAAGAAGCTGTCGCGGATTCTGCAGGAGATAGCCAACTGCGGTGACTACAAGAACGGCAAGCCATCATCTGCAGCACGGCGGCACAGTCGAGTCAACTATGCCAAGGCCGGATCGGGCTCATCGGAGAACGACTCCGATCGCATCCCTGTGCGCCGCAAGGCCAATCGCATCGTCATGAGCGACGAGTCACGCAGCCCTGCCTGTGACTACCGTGGTCATCCCCCTCCCCCTCCCCCTGCCGCTCCCCCTGCTTCTCCCGCCCCCATCCAGATGTCACCCAGCGCCGACCTTCCCCTCGTCCAAGTGCAGACGCCACACGTGCCACCGGCCCAGCAACCACAGGACGATGACGAGACGACCGGCCCGCCCATCAAGAAGCTGCTGCGCAAGTTCCAGCCTGAGAAGGACAGAGATGAGGCCCGGGCACTCAAGAAACAGCTGCAGCTGCAAGAGGAGCAGCAGCAGCACAAGCAGGAGGGGGGCAAGGGCGGGGGAGAGGTGAAGGGCCGCGTGAGGGTGTCCCATTCGGGCAGGGACGACGGTCGTGACATCAAGATGCGCCGGCCCCGCAAACCCAAGCGGCCACTCGTTGCTCCCAAGGCGGCCCCGCCCTCATGCTCGCAGGAGGACCAAGATGAGGTGCCGAGCGGCCCCAGGCAGCGCAAGCGCAATGCCACTGCGGCCAAGCCCAAGGCCAAGGCGGCGGCAAAAAAGAAGCAGGTGAGTGAGAGCTCTTCTGACGTCCTGGACACCGACGAGAGCCTGCAGTCATCCCAGCCATCGGCCATTGACCCATCCGAGCAGCCGGAGCCGTCCGTGAGGACAGGACGCGGCCGCGCAGGAGCCAAGGACGACAGGCAGCGAGCAGACAGAGGCCAGCCGTCTGCTGTGGTCCGTCGGGGGGCGTCTAGGGCTGCAGGTGGCCGCGCCAAGGCCAAGGCCGCCGGCGGGGGGAAGGCTGCAGCTGCCGGTGCAGGAAGTGGTGGTGTTAGCAAGGGTCGTGTTGGTGAGGAGTGGACCGGTGCTGAGATGGACAAGTTGGAGCGCATCTTGACGATTGGCAAAGTAGACTTCAGGGACCCCGAGTAAGCCAGCCAGCCACACTGAAGAAGCGCCTGATAATTGTGACGGTTGGTGCATTGCTCATCCATTCTGGGTGGGTGTTTGTGTGCAGCTGCTGGGAGTGTGTTGCTCGCGAGCTCGGGACCGGCCGCACCGCCGCAGAGTGCTCCCAATACTATGACATGTGGTGAGATGACCAACTGACACACATAAAGGGAACAAGTCGGATAGCATTACACCCCTCATCTCATCTATGCCTGTGTGTCAGGACTGAGCGAGCCGAGAAGGCGCCCCCCGAGAAGAAGAAAAAGAAGAACGGTCATAGGAGAGAACAGAACCTCCAGCAGTGACAGCCACCCATCCCTTCCATCGATGGATAGACGGATGGATGGATGGATGGGTCATCCCTTCGTGTGTGTTCCCTCCCTCTCTGTGCTGCGTAACGTCAGATGGCGATGGGGCACCCAAGAAGGACTTTGAGAAGGCGAAAGGACCCCAGAAAGCCAGAATGGTATGCATGCATCAGACACACGGGACGAAATGTGGACACAGCAACCTCCCACCCTCCATGTCCTCAATATCATGCCTGTGTGTGCAGCAACTGCAGCATTTGGCAGAGCGGCGGCCGCAGAAGGGCCTCCACGACCCGTTCAAGGACGTCCGGCAGAGACCGAAGCCCGTCGACCTCCCGCAACCCTCACACGACCCGCAGCCCATGGAGGAAGACCCTCTGGTGGACGCCACCCAGGCCGACGACAGTGAGCGTGCTGGTCCATCGGTGCGGCCACCACCCGACCCTGAAGGCCGCCACCTGCGCCTCAGCCGATCGGGCAAGAAGGGGAGGCAGGAGGGCGGTCGGGTGAAGGAGTCATCGGCGGGTGGCTCCTCCCCTGCCCATTCCCCCTCCCCGCCGTGCCGGCCCCGTCCGCGTCGCAGTTCCATCAACTCGTTCGGCTCGTTCGAGGTGCGGCTGAGCGTCGGGCGGCAAGACTACCGCCGCAAGTCGATCGCGCCGGCCAAACGGGGCCGTGGCGGCAGGGGAAGGGGTGGGGGTGGGGGTAGAGGGAGGGGTGGTCGAGCGGCACCCGCTGCTGCTGGTGGTGTTGTCAAGATGGAGGGAGATGACCATGACGAGCATGGTGGGCATGATGGTGAGGTCGGTGTGGATGAGATGGACTACGTGGAGCAGGAGCTGCCGCGGGCCGACCCCATGGGCCAGGCCGCATACGCATTCCAGTTCTATGACAAATTCAGTCAGCCCCCGCACACACAATGCTTGTCCATACGTGCTGATATATGTTGGGATGGATGCCTCTGTGCGTATGTGTACGTGTGTGTGCGTCAGGTAAGGCTGGTCGTGGCGGTAGGGGTCGTGGGGGCAAGCGTGGCGGCGGCCGTGGCGGTGGTGCTGCCGGGCGGAAGCCGCGAGTCGACTACCAGAAGCTATTCCAGAAGAATGACAAACAGGAGGCCAAACGAAAGTAACACCCACACAACACACCCACCTCATCTGCCCACATGCATGCCCACATGCAGCACAGCCCGCCCCTTTGCGTGTATGTGTGTGTGTGCGTGTATGTGTGTCAGGTTGAAGGCGTATGAGCGCGATGCCGACGGTTTGGAGGACGATGGTGACGACGACGACGACTTCGAAGACGATGAGGAGGGCGAAGACGACCTATCCTTCTGATGCATCCACACGGGTGCTGATCATCTGCCGGCGGGTGACTGAATGGGGGCAGGGTCACGGTTGTGCCGTGTCATTTGATCATTTCCGTTTGTCCCCTTTTGTTTGTCGATCAGGTGGAGGAAGGACACGACGGTGGCCAAGGTCCACCAATCTAGTCCCATAGCTGGATAGCTGCTGATCCACCGACTGCATGAATCGATTGCGTGCGTATGTGAGCTGGTTGGCCGACTGACTGACTGACTGACTGACTGAGTGGATGGATGGATGGATGGACGGATGGTTTCATGACAGACACGCACTGTACAGAGCTGTGATGTGTCCCGTCCGTCTCCCAGCAATGTGTGTCAATCAACCACGTCCAACAACAAAGAGACAGACACCACACCACATCTCACCTCCACATCTTCACCTGATAGATACCATGCTATCGCCATCGCATCCCACCATCACACACTCATGAAGCCCTCCCGCCTGTCACCCACACACCGCTGTCCCCCGCATTCACCGACACGCCTGGTAATCTTCTGCTCTGCTCGCATCACCCACTAAAGGCGCGTTCCCCAGCTGCCTGCCTTTCAGCCTCTTCTCCACGGCAATCGGCACGGAGAGCTTTCGTGGGGGGCCGGTGCCGTCATGGTCCTCCTCCTCGAGATCTCGGTGATATCGGTGCGATACGGCCCGCTGCAGCGGTGTCTCGGAGTAGCGCGTGTCTTGGCGGACATCGGTGTACACGTCCAGCAGGGCCTGCCCGCGCGTCTCGAAGGGCACTGTTTCAGACCAGCATAGATAACGACAGATTGGTTGTCATCTCTTTCATACCGCAGGAGAAGAGCATCGCGTCGGCGAGCACGCACACGGCCACCAGCAGGAAGAAGCCCACAAACTGGGCGCCGGGGTGCTGGGTGATGAAGGGGGCGCCATGGCCATCGTCAGCCCCTCGAACAGCATTGGAGAGAAAATGCCACCAAGTCTGCCCATTGCCACAGCAAGCGACACCCCAGACGCCCGCACCACTGTCGGGTACAACTCAGACGCGAAGAAGTAGACGAAAGAGAAGGCCGTCTGGCCCACGAGCTTCGCAGTCATGATGATGACGGTCGCAAGAGTGGTCAGGCCAGTGACGAGCGCCCCAGAGAAGGACAAAAGAATGGTCGCCTCGAGCAGCAGGAGAGACGAGATGGAAACGACCCGCGGAAGGACGTCGGCGTACAATAGAGGGACGCAGTTCAATGAAAAAAACACCTCGCCGATCAAAAGAGCGTACCTGCCCATCCATCCATCAGCCATCCATCAGCCATCCATCCATCCACCGCCACATGGGTCTGTCTATTGGTATGGATGTATGTCCGTGTGGATGGATGGATGGCAGGGGGTGTGCTGCGTACCCAGGAGGGATGTGGCTTGTCTGCTCCATGGCGGGGAAGCACTGGGGAAGAGCGTACTGACAACCAACCACACACACCAACACAGACAGACAAGGAGACAGACAAACGGCATCAAGCCACACATCAGCGCATCAGCGGCTGGGGCTCACCAATAGGCCGTATATGGTCAGATTGAAGCAGCAAGATGAATAGCACAACACAATGGTCGAGAAGAGGTACTTTCTCCCTAACAGGATGCCGATAGTGCTCATGCCCGCCCCCTCCTCACTGGCCGCGGCAGCTGCCGCCTGCTCAGGCATGCTAATCGCATTCTCCTCCTCTAGCTCCTTTATTGTCCGCCCATTGGTGCGCGCCAGAGATCTCAGCACTTGCCTGGCCTCCTCGCCTCTGCCCTTGACGAGCAAGAAGTGGGGGCTCTCCGGCAGGTACACTATGGCCGGTCCAATGGCAACGATGGCCGGGAGGGTGGCGCACACCAGCAGCAGCCGCCACGAGAGGTGCTGCATCATGGGGTCAACAATAATGATAGAGACACAGGCGTATGACGAGCCCACGAGGAAGAAAAAGCCGCCAATTGCCTGCAGGGGCGCTCTGGCTCGGATGGGCGAAAGCTCATTGATGAGCGAAAGCCTACCAGACAGACAGACAGACACACAGACACAAAGACATAGGAAAAGAGAGAGAGTCAGAAGGCGTGTAGTGGGGGTTGATGTGAGATGGCGCGTTCCTTTCCTCCCCCCCTCCCCCCCTCCCTCACCATGCCGGTATCCCAAACCCCACTGATATACCCGCCAGAAGCCGACAGAAGAGCATGTACCAGTAGCCGGTGGCAAACAAAGTGGTCAGGTTGCTCGCGATGATGCCGCAGAGAGCCATCAGGATGGAATTCCTCCGCCCATAAGCGTCCGATAGCCACCCAGAGATAGCGCTGCCGGTGCCCAGGCCGACCAGGAGCTGGCCATCCATCCACCACAGGAATAAGGGTCAGTGTGTGTGTGTTTTGTGCCTGTGCTTGTGTTGCGTGCCCTGTCGACAGACCATGGACATTAGGAACCCCTTGCTCATCGGGGAGAGCTGCCAGTCGGCGCCTATGGTCGTGTTGATGACCGACAATGTGAAGACCTCGGCTCCATCCGAAAACACCCACAGAATCGCCACCCACAACTGTGCTGGGCCGAAAGAGATTTTCTGGGAATCAGAGAAAGAAATCATCAGTGCAGATGTGTGAGTACTCGTATGTATTGTGTTGGTGTGCATTCGACCTACCTCCAAGAAGTAGTTCACATCCCTTGGAGCAGGACGTCCACGGCGAACAACAGCTCCAGGACCGCCAGTCTGAGGACTGGATGCGCCGGCTTCACTCATCAGGAGAGGGTCATGCCTCAATGTATTCTTGATTGCAGCGAGGAGGAACCCTCCTTCTGTTGCTTAGCGTGGGCGTCGTTGACACTCACGCTGGCGTCCGTGAAACTGCATGCTCATCGACCCAGCTCGCGGGAGAACTGCGCCAATTGCCAGACGTGAAACCGTGACTGTAGGGGAGTAACGACATTTAGCGAGATTCGCTTGCTTCAGAAGCTTTCTTCTCGATCTGCAGCTTCCTCTGCACCTGCTGCGATGGAAACCGACATCATTGCCCATCGGGAGCCTCTCTGGCGCTGTGTCGGGCTTTACTAGAGGTGATCATCTCTCGGTTATCGCTGAGTGGCGTCAAGTGATGGATAGCTTCGAGGCCTATGAGCTGGTGCGGGAGATTGCTCGAGGTGCCAGCGGAAGGGTCCTGCTCGTGCGGCACAAGGCATCGCAGAGGGAGTATGTCATGAAGAGCTTGGACATCACGTCAGCATCATCGGCGGACAAGGACGCGGCCCTCCACGAGGCGCAGACAATCTCCCGCCTGCAGCATGCACATGTGGTGCGCTACGCGTCCTCCTTCATCCACCAGACCTCCGACGGCACCTTCCTGGTGATTGTGACCGAGTATGCGGAGAGGGGCGACCTCGCGGCGGAGATCGCCGAGAGGCGGCGTGACAAGAGGGCGTTCACATACGAGGAGGCACTCGACATCTTCGCACAGATCGTCCTGGCCATCGAATACATCCACGATGAGAAACACATGATCCACCGGGACGTGACTGCCGGTAATGTGCTCCTCACGGCCAACATGCGGGTGAAACTGGGCGACTTCGGCCTATGTCGGCAGCTCAACTCGACCAAGCGCAACGGGAGGCTGCAGGGCACGCCGTCTTACCTGGCGCCTGAGCTCTTCAGAAATGAGGCGCACTCCACCAAGAGTGACATATGGGTACGCTACGCGGGAGGAAGGAAGGCTAGGCGAACCCCTTGTGTGACACATACGCACTTCTTTCCCTCCCATGCCATGGTGCGGGCAGGCCCTTGGGTGCCTGTTGCATTTCCTGCTCACCCTCGAGCACCCCTTCGCCACCAACAACATCGGTGCTGCAGTGCGGAGAATCGCAATGATGGACCCCCCCTCCCTGCCAGCCAACTACAACCCCGCCCTCGTGTCCCTCGTCACATCCATGCTCGCTGACAACCCCGCCGAGCGACCCGAGGCAAGGGACATCCTGCGGCTTGATGTTATGAAGGCCGTCCTCAGGCGGCTCGCCGTGACACACACGGCAGAGGGGCACTACGTGGACGCCCTCATCCGCGCGTCACGGGCGGTGGACCGTGCCCCCAAGCCGTCGGAGCCATTGATAGTGAGCGCCACTGCCCCCGTGCCAGTGACGGTGACAGATGCGTCTTCGCCTGTGGCCCGCCGGGCCATGAAGACCCACCCTCTCAACGCTGCGTCGCGCGAAGACGCCAAGAAGCCATCCCGTCAGGGAACCGACCCGCTACTGCGCATCGCCGAGGAGCTCAATGCGATCGAAGCCGACGACACCGAGGGGGGAGCCGATCCCCAGATCGCATCCCTCTCAGCTTCTCAGCTGAGGGAATCCACCGATCCTGAGGTGCGTGAGGCGGGGGAGGGGCCGCGGCGCATCCTACCCAAGGGCGCGTCGTCGCCTGCGGTTGGCCATGGCGTTCCGGAGATGAGCCCTGTTCATGGCGAGGAGGATGGGGAGGGCAGTGTGAGCGGCCTGTCGTCCGGCTCCTTCTCCCGCAAGAGCTCGCTGCAGGAGAGGAGGGATGAGTTCAAGATGAGGAAGGCGCACCTGATGGACCAGCAGTCTGCAGACGGCTTGCTGCCCCACCTGCGCGGCGTTAGTGAGAAAATCCACAAGCTCGTCGAGGACTACGAGAGCAGGAGAATACCATCGCCCCTGAGACCGAGGCCTGTCCCACCCAAGCCGCATCCCGCCCCGCCCCCTCCCCCTCCCCCACCAGACTCACACAAGGCCACCACCAAGAAGGGCGCCACACAGGGCAGGGCCGTGACTCGCAGCAACGCAGCCGGCAAGGCTCGGCAGCCGCCGTCCCTGAAGCTCAACCTCGACGGCCTGGAGCGGTCATCGACGCTCAGCAGTCTCCCCCAGGCCACTGACCCGTCTACGGTGCGGCCGTCGACGGCAAAGCCAAAGGGCATGTCCCCGTGTGTGTCGTTGGACGAGCCAGTGATGTCCGCTCGTAGTGTTGCGGACAAGCAGCAGGCCAAGAGGTGGGACGGGGGGCGGAAGGCCAGCATGGGGGCGGCGAGACAGTCGTCGGCTGCCAAGGATGAGAGCCTTCTCTCCGCCCCTAGCCGCAGGCTCGAGAGGCGGAAGGGGCCGGAGCCGCAGAAGCAGCGGGATGACCTCAAAAGGGAGAAGGAAAGGCAGCAGAGACAACACGAGAAGGTCAGTGAGTGAGTGAGTGAGTGCATGGGTGAGTGACATACAGAGGGGCGTCCTGTCAAGGGTCGTCCGTCGGTCATGTGTTGGTTCAATTCAGGAGTTCAAGGCCAATTTGGTCAAGGCCAAGAGCCGCATCGATCGCACACGGGGACCCTTCTCACGACCAGCTGGACCCCCCATCCGGGGATCGTCGACGCTGGAAGTAGTCAACGAGGAGGAGCAAGTGGAGGTTGATGACTACCTCGACGCCAGCAGTGACAGGGGCAGTGCCTTCGCCACGCCCCAGAACGGCGGCAGCCACCCGCCCCCGACACAGCCCGACAGCAGCTCCCCCTCTGTGCCCTCCCACGCCACACCCGTGCCTTCGGCCCCATCGGTGGTGTCCGAGTCGCCCGTCAAGTCGCCTTCGTCGAAGAGGGAGAGGGCTTCTCTTCTGTCACAGCGTCATGGGCTGTTCCAGCGTCATGTCCAGGAGCAGGGCTGGGACAAGCGGCAGAGAAATGGCACTGGTGGCGATCAACCTATCGAGATCTTCGTGCCGGGATACGGCCGGGTGCCCGACGGCATGGCCGACCAGATCGAGGATATTGGCAAGAGCCCCACCACCAATAGCCTGACCGAGTCCGGGGAAAGCCCCTCGGAGGCGTCGGCGAGAGTGGTGGAGAGGCGCACGGACCTGCACACACGCATGGCCACCGACCCGGCCTTTGTCTCGACGGCAGCAGACGGGGCATCGTCTCCCCTTGGTGGCAGCTGTCCCCCCGACTCTCCACCCCCCTCCCTCAGCACATTCCCGCCCTCGGTCCCTCCCGTATCGCCTCCACGAGACTACCCGCCCCCTTTTCGCATCCTCAGCCATCGTCAGCGCCAAGTGCCGCGCAGATCCATGTCGCAGAGGCTGCCACCATTGGAGCACTTCCCTCTGCCGGTCGCTGTGGCCAAGCGGTCGCTGTCGAGCGTTGAGGGCAACGACGAGAGAAGCATCTACGTCTGCGGCGAGGTGTTCTTCAAGAAACCCCCGCCGCCCCCTGCGCATGCTGCTGTGCCTCCGCTGCCCGTCGGTCGGGAAGGCCTCAACGTGCGGCAAAACCTTGGTGGACGAATGAAGGACATTCTTATTCCTGACCGCAAGCTGGTGCCACAGGGCCCTGCCAGGATCCTCTCACCCATACTGGCGAGCAAGGAGCCGCCAGGGCCATCTGACCCATCGGCTTCGTCTGCGGTAGGAGAGCGGGCTGTGGCGGCATCGCATCGTCTTGTCCACAGGGGACGCTCTGGGGGTCAGCAGCGGACGGAGAGCACGCCTGACGAGCCCGTGTCGATCAAGAGTGGGCTGAAGATGGGACTGGCGAACCTCTCGTTCGGCCGCCAAAGTGACGACCTGAGTCGCTCAGACACATTTGCCCTCTCCCACACATCGATCCCAGGTGCGTCCATCGGGACGCGGGAGCGAGCCAGAGGCTCAGGTAGGTGGTGTGATTGTTGGTCTGATGCTGTGGAAGCTAAGCCACTCATGTGTTTCATTCCTGTCTGCCTGTGCTACTTGTTTGTGTGTTGCAGGTCTCAGTGGTCTTGGCAGTCGGCACCGCATCCCGCCCCTCAGCCGTCGGCCCGAGCCGCCCCATCCCGATGGCCTTCTTTCTGACGCGTCAGCCTTCCAGTCTGAGGCCTTCAGGCGGAGGAATGAGCGGCAGCCATCGATAGAGGAGCTTGGGGGCGGCAGCAGAGACCCCCTGCTGCAGATACCCTCAGAAACCACTCTCAACAGACTCTCAGATCGCATCATGTATGTGTGTGTGTGTGCCACCCAGGAGCAGGCAGGGGCACGGCACACACCACAGAGAATGACGTCTGCAAGTGTGTGTGTGTGTTGTGTGTGCAGGCAGCGTCAGGAGGAGCTGCAGCGTCAGATTGTCCGCAGGAGAAGAGATGTAGCCCTGCCGCCATCGGACACCCCTGAGCCTGACGACCGCTTCGAGCACCCCCCTGCGCGCCTGCCAAGGCCACACCCACACTCACACCCACGAGCCGACAGGGTGAGCCAAGCAATGCCATCCGTGCACCTGCCTTACTGCTGTTGTTAACGACTCCCTCTTTTTGCTCGTTGTTAACTAACGAATCAATCAGCAGGCCCAAGTGGACGATGAGAGGGCTGACCGCGAGCGCGAGACCGTAGAGAGGCTGGGCCGTGCTCGCCGCACCCAGATGGGCAACAGGATAGAGCACAGCAGAGACCGCCTGCAGAACGCCCTGGGACGGGACTCATTCCGAATACTCTACGAGTGAGTGAGTGAGTCCGCCAGCGGATAGCCGGGACGGATGGATGGATGGGGGCAGATGGGTGGATGGATGCCATGCTTGGTGTGGTGTGGTGGATGTGTTGTGTTGTGTTGTGTTGTGTGACATTTGCAGCATGTTGTCTGATGCGACGGAGGAGGGCGAGCTCGACAAAACCATCGCCTTGATCAAGCAAAATGCCCCGGACCCCCTCATCCAAGATGCCATTCCGTAAGCGACCACACAGCCATCACACCCGGCCGACACACACCGGTTGTCTTGGTATGTGTGTGTCCATTAGCGAGCTCGTGAAGCTCATCCATCTCGAGCGGCAATACTTTGGCATGGGGTGATTGATCGATCGACCGTCAGACACAGAGCAGGCAGGCTGTCAGCCCAGGTAGCTAGCTAGCTAGCGAGGATGAAGGCGGCCTGTTGCTCGTTTGCTATTTGTGCTGTTTCTACCAGTAAGGACCGAGTCGCTGACTGACACGTGTGGCAGGCACGTGGCCGTCCATGCCGTGCGTGTGTGTGTGTGTGTGTGTGTAAGTATGGGTATTTGTTAAGACACGACTCTCTCTACTTGATGATTTGATTCACGTTCATGGCGTCAGTGCGATGGAGTCCGCACCCGCATCCACGCCTGTGTCGGTGTCGGTGTTGGTGTGTGTCTTGGTACATCAAAGCAGCCCGCACACTCGCCCCTCACCACTGCTCTGCTGCAGTCATCGATGGCGGTTAATCAAGATTGACCGCCCCTCTCCTGCCGCAGACAGACGCAGACACACACGCAGCTGTCCACTCACACACGAGACACAGACGACACAGACGTGTTGATCAACTCGGGTGTAGTGAACACAGACACAAGATGAGAAACCTACTTTGTGTTAACACGCCATGCACCGTACGCGTGTGAACCCACTGTGCACGGCTACTGATCCCTCAGACTGAGTGACAACACACTCCGAGACCGACCAGGCTTCACAAGACTCGTCGATGTCACCTTCCCATTCCCATTCCCCCCTGCCGATGCAGCCACAACCGACTCTGCCATCCTCATCAGCTGCACGGTGGCCAGCCGACGCATCTCAGCGTCGCCTGCATGGCGCGCCACCAGGAACAGCGCATCGGCGCCCCCCACCTCCCTCAGCAACGCCATAGCCTTATCGTCAGACGCGAGACACAGCAGCAGCTTCGTCACGGCCCGTGTGGGTGTCGCTTTGAGTGCTTCCAGCTGCCACCCCTGCACGCCTCTCTCCTGTGCTGACTCAATAGCCTTGTACGGGACGTAGCAGGCCTGGATGTGCTGCACCAGGTAGGAAAGCGCCTCAGAGGACGCCCCCGCCCCTCCAACCGATACGCCCGTCTCTTCAGCTGCTGATGTCATGGCTGCATCCAGGGTGACGAGGGCGCACCGGAGCAGGGCCTGCTGCGCTACCACCTCATATGCTGTGGAGGCTGTGGGGAGACAGACACAGGGCGGATGGAGGCAGGCAAACACCCCACCCCACCCCACTGCTTTGCTTTTCATCCCTCCCTCCGTCCCTCCCTCATACCCTACCTGTTGGCTTGAGCACTCGAGCCCCCGTGCTGATGACGCGAGACCGGTTCAGCTCCGTGAATGCGGCGGACCGCAGCGCCAGACACCGGGTTGCAGTGCCAGGGTGGGCGACAGCCAAGTGTGCAGCCGCGAAGGCGAGATGGCACGCTGTGCCCATCAGCAGCTCGGGCCTTGCCGAAAGCCCACACCATGCCTCCACTGCGTCCATGTTGGCCTGGTGGTCCCGCTGACTGCCCCTCCCCGGCAGACCGCCACTTTGCTCGGCGCTCTGCATCAACCTGCAAATGTACTCTCTGCCTGAGTGCCCGCTGGCAGCGATGCGCTGTGCAATCTGCAGTTCCACCAGCAGCTGCGCCAGGATGTTCAACAGCCTTGCCGGCGGGCGAGGGAGGGCCTGACCTGACGACTCTTCAGTGCCCGGGCCGTCCTTGCTATCGTGTGGGAATGCACGAGCACAGTTAGCTCCCAGGACGCAGATGGCGAGGGACCGGAGGTGGGCGCCCAGAGGTGCCGAGCGGGTCAGGCAGAGCCACCGGAGGACCAAAGCCTTCGGTCGCTCCTCATCTTCGGCGTCTCGCGAGTCCGAGTGCTCCAGCATGATCGCAAACAAATGAGAGAATAACCTGCACGATTCAAAGCAGGCGATGTCTTATCGTGGTCGGAGACATTCGGTCACGTGTTAACACACCCACCTGTCGAGGGTCTTGGTGACTTTGGCGTCCACCTTGGCTGACAAGGGCATTTTGATGAGTGCGAGCATGTTGAGCAGGAGCAGCATGAAGAAGTGCAGGGATGGATAGGGCAGGCTGAGACACGACAGGATCTCCGGGATGGCCAGGCTCGGCACCATCTCGGGCAGCACCGCCTCAAGCGGGAAGAACCGCAGACACAGGCTCGACACGAACGATCCCACCTGATGGCATAAATGAAAGCACAAGAATGGAAGGAGGAAAGCAGTGGCTCACATCCATCTTGATGTGGCTGACTTTGACGGCAGTATCGGTGGTTTCCTTGAGCAAGCTGGTGGCAAGACTGACAAGGGTGGTCAGATGACTGCCCTCATCTCTCAGCCAAGAAGTCGATCGCAGCGGTGCTTGCTCAACACCATTTCTGGGTGGTGTGGAAGAGCCCGCGGAAGTTATAATGATCCCAAAGGTCCAGCAGGCCAATACCTTCGACAAACAGTCCGGGAGCCCTCCAGCCGAGCGCAAGATATCCAACAACACATCACGCGAGAAGAAATCGACCTGAAAGCCACAGGAGTCAATCGTACGGAAGTCATGTCTTTTGGTCATCGCATTTGTCTGCCTGACCGCAGACGACTGATGCTCATCTCTCGGCGCCGATTGCGTGTGTCCTGTATAGTGTCTTTCAGCGTCGACTGCCACGAATGAGGGCTGCCTCTCAGGTCCCTCCAACACAACGTGCTGAGGCGCCACAGCGATAAACAAGGCATGAGCCGCACAGGCAGACAGGCACCGCAGCACATTGACATGTACATCCTTGTCAGCTGAGGAGCTGAGGAGCTGCACCCCACGACGGAGACATGAACAAGACGACTCTGCACGGGTGGCACATGCAGATGGATGGATGGATGGATGGACACGCCGACAGACAGACAGACAGACAGACAGGAAAGCGAAGAGAGAGATCAAGCAAGCTGTTTCCTTACCTCTGTTTGCATGGAGGTACATGAATTTCCAGCAGCTGCGGATCTGCACCAGCGTCGCCAGGATTCGCCAACCGTGACGCACACTGTTTTTATGGAGACGACCGACAAGGAGACGACATTCAGGTGTGCCCGTGCTCATGTGGCGACTGACTCACATGTGAGACCCATCAGAGCGCCCCAACACCCGGATCAGGGCTTGAATCATGTTTGGCTGGATCTCGAGGCCCTGGATGTCTCCTGAACCCTCCTCGTGTGGAGTGTCGGCAATGAGCAGTGTTGAAGCCTCACGGGGCCCCTCTGATGACAGGCCGAGAAGGAAGAGCTCAAGCAGCGCGTCAGAGCTCTGTGGTGGGCTGGGTGAGTCCCCAGGACGGTGCCGATCCGCATGCGAAAGCAGCATGTTGGGGAGCATCTTCATGAAGGGGGCCTTCACGAGTGCATGTCTTGCTGTGTGGTTCTCTCTCATCTGCTGTGCGAGAGCTGTAACGGTCACCTTCTCGCAAAGCACAGATGCCCCATCATCACCAGCTCGATCGCCTGGTCGGTCGAGCCCGAGTGCCGTGACCAGAAGGGACACCATACCCTGGATGGATGGAGACACACATGACAGTCACGTCGCACACTATGCCGCCTCTGGCGTACCTTAGTCGATGTATCGTCTTGTCCACTGTCCGATGCGACAGAGGGTTGGCACAGCATGGCGAGAAGCCGCGCCATGAGCACAAGACACCCCCCACGGATGCCATTCTGATCGTTAGTGATGTCCTTGATGTCCTGCAGCACCAGAGCCAGGGTGTCGTGCAAGGAGGGATGCTGCGCGAGGATATCTCTCATCGTGGGGAAGAAAAACGCCAAAGTGTAGATGAGCTTCAGAAGCAGTAGGGATGCCTCCCCTGTCCTCCGCGCACCACTATCCTTCTTAGTCAGACGTAGCACGTCATCCAGCCACTGTGCTGCTGTGGGGCCAACTGCCACAAAACGCGCCAGGACGTCTTTGTGTCCCCTGTCGAGCATGTCCCTCAGAGCCAATGCCAGCTGGAAGGCAAGTGGCGAGGCTGCAGGCACGATCTCCAGCAGTAGGCGAAAGATATCTGATGCCGACGACTCAGTGCCCATGTCCTGCGGCATATCGGCGGCCTGCAGCATGCCCAGGAACACCCACCCCATGTCCTCAGCAAGGTGTCTCGAGGAGCTCTCCCGGGTCAGCCGGAGCAAAGCCAGCAAAGGCGACTTCTGACAGGCTACCACAATCCCTTCCAGCTTCCTCCGCGGCACACCGTACAGCTCCAGCCACTCGCCGCAGCATGACTCGACTCGACCACCGAGACCAGCGTCAAGTGGCAGGGACAAGAAAGCGCCCAGTGTGGGCTGTTGAAGGAGACACGAGAGGACGGCCGGGTCAGCACGGTACTCGGGGCTGCGAGGCTTGGTCACATCGACGAAAGCCTCGCATGCGCCAATAACACTGTCGCTTGGTGAGGACGGGGCCTCCATTATCTCCAGCAGGACTGGAACCAGCCTTCGCAGCAACAAAGAGTAGGCTGTCCCGCTTGTGTTGTCGTCTCCTGGGTCTCCTCGAGCAGCCATGCCAATTGTCGTCACGGCAAGTCGCATAGCACTGAGCGACAGCCCCTTATCGGAGTGCTTTGACAGCGTGGCCGCAGCATCGGCCAGGAACGGCAGCACCACCGTCCACCGAAGCCCCCGTGTGTCTTGGCCTGCGGAAGTGTCGACTGCCTCGGCGAAAGCGTCCGCCCTCTCGTACTCGAGGCATGCGCAGAGTGCGTCAATGGCGACTCGCCGAGCTGCAACTGAGACTGCCGCTCCGGCGGTGAGCAGGGCCAGGTGGCGGTACACTGCCTTGATGGGCTGGAATGAGGGCAGGTTGACCGAGGGGTACAGAGACCACAGGAGCAGGCTGAGACACTCCAACGACACAAGGAGGATAGCACCACAGCCATTCTCGTCGCTGCTGCCGCCCTCAGGCGTGTTCACCACGGTGATGTTGGTCGCTACTTCTGAGTGAGACATGCACGAGATACATGAGATGGCGTGGGATGGGATACACCCGTCAATCGACTTCGCTCACCACAGGCGCGATTGACGAGCATCAGATGATGGTGCACGATCTTCTGCCGCGCGAAATAACAGACGGCAACAACAATCTGGAGCCACTGCAGACCCAACAGGCGACTCCTCTTCTGTATTCGTTCACTGTCGAGCTCCACGGATTCTTCGTTCTTCTCGATGCCGGCCGGCTGCGCATCTTGGAGCCATGTTAATAGCTCGGTGTCGGAGCTCTGGATATCTGCGACTGCCTCTCTGGACGTCATCAGGCCGAAGAGCAGGTTGAGGCTGCACTGCAGTCCAACCGATGGATACTCCATTTCCAATGGGAAGCAGCCATCCCCCAAACCCGAAAGCTGGATTATGGCCTGAGAGAATTCCGTGCCAAGGGTCTGGCCAACAGGCCGACATGTGTGTATCCTATTGCCTCCTTGCCTGGCGCAGTGGGGAGGGTCCGTCTTTGTAGCCTTCTAACAGTTTCGGGTGATACATCGGCATTGACACAGCCTTTAGGGACAAGTGCACTACACTGCTCAGCGCAATGGCCCCAATAACCATAACATCTTCAGTCTGCTGACTCATCATGACTGCCAGCAGCGTGTTCGTCAAGACCGGCACAGCAGTGGCTTCAGCTGATCCACCCTTCGATGCCATAGCTGCGACCAGTCCCGCAGTGGCGCTGCATTCCCACAAGAGTCCCTCATCGCAGTGGCGTGACGTCATCAGCTCTACATGTCCCACGAGCAGCTCCATCAGCCTCTCATCATGTTCTCTCAACAGCGAGTCTTCGGTGACCTCATCGACCTTCAGCCTTAATCTCCTCAAAGTACCAAAATCCTCAGCGTCAACGTCTCTTTCAGCGATTGAAGCCACTTCATTTTCAAGCTTACTGTCTTCGTCAGCCCCATAATACAGCAGGAGCGACAAAGCAAGGCTCCACCTTATCTCTGCCGCCCAATCCCTGTTCTCTTCGCTTGCGTCCCCCCATACAGACAGAGACAGGGAGGATGCGCTCTCAGTCTTCGCACGTCTCAGCTCCGTCTGAGCCTTCAGTGACCTCTCTAAGGACGAGCACGCGTCTGAAGCAACGCCAGCGACGAGCGCAACCTGCCTGGCGTAGCTGCCGCAATGTGGCGAAGCGAACAAAAGAACAAGGAGTCTCATCGCCTTTGCGGGCTGGAAGGGCATCAGCTTCACGGCGGTCCTCACGCATACCTCGAGGACGTCGGCTGACGCCCACACCCCTGTGTCTCTGAGTGCATCATCCCTCTTCAACGCAAAGCTCAGGAGCGAGGCCACCGTACGGCCGACCACAGTGGAAATGTGCAGCACGTCGCCCAGTGCACCGACATAGTCGGCAAAGAGGAGCCGCTCTTCGTCGAGGAGAAGGCGGAGAAGATGAGAAGAGCCAGCTAGGACGGGATTACACTTGGCGACCTCCTCGACAGTGTCTCTGCTCAGCTTCCTCATCTTGAGGAGGGTGCACAAAGCCCGAAGCGCCTGTGTCTGATGGTACGGCTTTAGCGTGTCCTGAGATTCAGTAGAGTAGGCAAGACGCAACCCCTCTGTCAGACTGTGGACGAGGCAATGCAGTCTTTCTTCCCCCTGTTTGCTCACATTAGTGGTGGTCAGGAGCTGTGCAAGCAGCCGCGCTGCGATCTCAGGCTGCTCTTTGAACTGCTCCTGCTTGAGCAGCTCCTGGGCAACTGTAAGCGACTTCCAGAATCCACTCCGATATGCCAGACCCACCCCAAGGGCCCTACACGGAAGGAGAGAGATCGATGGGTCAGGACATATCAGGTGTGCAAACCGTATGCCTTTGTTCCACCTGATGGAAGGTGTGCGGGAAGTGGTCAGCCCGGGAACAATCGATGCAATCGTGTCGTTGACTTTAGCTTGGCCACCGCCAGAAAGCTGCCTCATCGCCGACGACAGGATTTGACCGGCGGCCTGAATTACTCTCTCTGACAAGAGTCTCTCGACTCTGTTGTTGGCCTCAAGCCGCTGAGACAGGGAACTCAAGAATTCCTGGAAACACCTCGTGTGCAAAGAGGTGGCCTCTTGAGTGACAAGGGTATCGAGTTCTGACGACGAGTGGCGATGCGGACGGTGGGAAAAGATGAGGCAGAGAGCATTGGCTGCAGCCACGAAACAATACTCGGCAGCCTTCTCATGTCGCTTTTTCGTAAGATGTTGAGATTCGACTGCACGGTCTTGTTCCGGCGGTATTGGTTTCGCCGCTCTTGAGTCGAGCATGTCAATATCGACATCATATGGGAGCTGGTGATCCGACACTATTCGCGTTCCTGAGGATCCACGCCTCATCCGGCCAACGATGTCCGCACCGAGACCCTCCGCTTGAATGAGACACCTCCACAGGAAATTCAAGCATCCGTTGTGGCTGACCAGCGCGCTGACAAAAGCCTCCTCGGATCGTCGACAGACGGCCCAAAATACTGACACAAAGACCGATGCATCACCTGTGTGAAGAGCCATGGGTTTGCTGCCGCCCTGGGCCGTCAAGTCGAGAACGTACGACCAATCGGAGACGAAGGGGCTTCGCTGCTGCTCCTGTCGGTCCTTGAGGACGTCCATCAATGATGTCTCCTCCGTCACAAGTGTTGTTGGGGACTCGGCCCAATAAAGATAAAGCAGGCGGATAGTGGATAAAGCAAGCCGCTGACACAGTCGCTCTTCCCATCCTCCGCGGAGCGCTCTGGCCATCCTTTCGTAGAAGTGACAGATGGATCGGATCGTTCCCTCCTTGAAGAGAAAGGTCGCTGGGTAGCGGACTGCGAAGTTGTGAAGTATGACAATGGCGTATCTCGACAGCCCCTTCGTCTCAAGCGCTTTGAGCAGCAGGTCGATGGTTCTGTCCAAGTACGGCAGCTGGTCAGTGGTATCCAGCGCCCTGCTCTGGACGGCGAGGCTCCTCAGCTGCCAGATCGCGGCCTCGTGATGGTGGTCAGACAGACTGATGATGCTCTGGAGGGAATCTCGCATATCAGTCCCCATCAACTTCCCTGTCGAAACGTCCCTGCAAGACAAGCGTACGACGCACACCTTCATGGCACGGGCACACAGATTTGCTGTGTCTCGACCCATCGATACCTTCCAATGCCCTTTGGTTGGTCCTGCTCCATTGTGGCAGCTGCCGAAGCAGTGGACAAGATCGCGCAGCACGAAGACAGCACCTTGCTGAGACAGTAAGAGAATGGTGATGGTGGTGTGTTGGGTGTTCAGTCTCTCCTTTGATACCTTGTGGCTTCGCTCTCCACTGTTTCGCCCCTTCGATCGTCGGGCCGGATGCCCTTTGGTGCGACTCTTGCCGTGCTGCCCGTGACGAACATGTCAGGAAAGTATCGCCGCTTGAAGGGAAAGCTGGTTCGGATGAGATGAAAGAGAATCAAGGCTGTTCTCTCGCAAAACAGCAGCCCACTCGCCGCCACTTCAATCTGCACGCAGCGGGAAGACAAAGTGACGGTGTCAGCAAAGGCGGCATCAGTCAATCCGATACCTTGTGGACGGCCACGAGGGAGCTTTCGAATGCCCGACAGTCCACTTGGGACCAGAAGTCTTGATTCACGCTGAAAGACTTGAGGGCGCTCTCGTCTTCAGTGCTCTCAGCCGAAACGTCAACAGCCGAGATGACGCTCTCGACGAGTTGAAGAAATGCACTGCCAATGCCCCATTTCTTGACGACGTACTCGGCGTGCAGGTCCGAGACGGCAAAGGCGCGGCCGACAGTCATGCTGCCACAGTTGAGGAGGTCTGAGAGCTGAACGGTCTCGTCGCCCAGCAGCTGCCATGGCACTGCCTTTGCATTCCTGCCGGCCTCCTCCCTGATCCGGCTGAGAGCCGTCTGCGCGAGATTGGTGAAAAGCTGTTGTGACGCGCTGACCACCTCGAGGCTCTCGTATGGGCACTCGCCGAGTGCCTAGTTGAGGGGACATCAAGGTCCTTCCGAATATGTGGCTTTCCACCAAGCAGGACAATCGCTCTTTATTGCGTCAGAGCTGACCTTGTTGGAGAGGATGGTGCTGGTGACAGCTGAGATTCCTCGCTGGAGCACGCGCCTGGTCAAGCAAGGGAGTCAATCATGTGTGACAAGCATGAACACCGATACATATGCTCTCTGACCTTGAGAAGTTCGGGAAGAAGTGATACAGCCGTGCAAGCTGAGCCAGGCTTCGCATCGAGGACAGCACGATGCTGCCTGCCTGCCGATGGCTGATGCCCTGTTCCTCTACCAGTTTCGCACTCGACGCGACGCCGCCATACAGGCTCTTCTGCAGTGTCGTCAACAGGCGGCAGCTGTCTTGATCGTGCTGCAGAGCAGCTTCCTGATAGTGCACAAGCGCCCCCACAAGCTCCGAGGCCGTCCGCACCTGTACAAACAGGTGGACGCCATCGGTGTCGATCTCTATTTGCAACAGTTTTTGGCACCTACCGTCTCAACAGCGTATGGCTCGGCGGACAGCGACATCTCTGAGAGGATGGTGGCGATAAACATCCGTCCCGACACCTCTCGCAAAGATAGTTGCCTGCGAGACACACACAGCAAGATGTGATTTGGTTGGTCTCTTAGCCATGGGTGCGCACCTGACCACGCACTGCTGCGGCACCTTGTCGGGAGGGAGGTGCAGATAGACAGCCGATGTCGCGCTCAGGAAGCGCACTGCCTCGCCGAGAAGACCACTCGCGTTCGGGATGTTGCTTCTGTCAAACCGGCCTTCGCTGTCATGCATAAGGAGCTCGACGATCTTGGGAAGCCACTGGTGCGCTTCCACGCCCTCCACCCAGGACAGAAGCTCATCATCCTCGCCTTCCGTCTTCATTCCGACCCACAAGGCGAGAAGCGGCATTCCCATCCTGTGCACGAAGTTGCTCAGGCGAGCAGTTGCTCTGCGCTGATCTCGTTGGACTGGCGACGTGTCAGGAGAAAGCAGCCCTGACGGCTCGGTCCGCTCGACTGGCGTTGCTTTCATGTAGTAGTACTTGTCATTGCTGAGGATAAAGTACGTCATCGACGCCAGTAGGTTCTCAAAGATAATGTGCAGGCCGAGGCCGACGTCAGCGATGCGTCGCAAGGAAGATTTCCGTCTGTCCTTCTCGGTTGGCGCTTCAGCTGCCGGGGCGCCGTCCAGGATGGACCGCAACAGGGCGGCCTCCTTTGCGCGGAATCCCTTGCTCTTCCTTGCGTCATAGCTCTGCACCACCAAGACGACACCCCTGCAATGTGAGGCACACAGAAAAGCGAACCTTTGCTTACTTCAAAGAGCAGCTGGAGTGCGGCCAGCAAGCAGCCCTTGACGAGGCAGCGAAATCTCCATGAGGCCACGAGCTTGTTGAAAGGCGAAGTTTTGGCGGGAAAGGCGGTCATGGATCGGATGAACCGGGTCACTGCCACTAACAGGTGGCTGACCATCGCATGGTTACACGACGCCTTGACGGCCAAGTCCAGCCGTGTGGCTGCCATCATTGGAGAGGTCGACGACCCTGGAGACGCAGGAGAGCTTTCTCCGCTGCCCTTCTCGAGGATGTCGAAGGGGCTCAGTCTTGGCGATGGGGCGTCGGCTCGTTGTTGCCCGTCTGCTTCACCTGACGCCCTCTCGACGAATAAGGAAGGGAAGAGGTGCCGTGCCAACAGTTCAACAAGCCGGCCAGTGTGGGATATGTTGACCTGTCGGCAGGGCAATCAACACCGACACTTACGAAGGCTAGCTTGTTAGCAGTGTCGGCGCGCATACCTCGTCGTGCAATGCAGACTTGGGCAAGTCCTCAGCAGTGCCGCGTGCGATTGTCGCTGTAATGTGAGATTGGAAGAGAAAGGAGACGAAGAGCTGAAGACCCATGGCGACCTCGCTGACGGCTCTGTGGGTCAGGTGATATCCCATGACAGCACCGATAGCGCTCTCATGGTAGATGACAAGGGAGTGACGCGAAGGATCAGATGTCTCGCCCGGCAGCACTCCCTCGATCCGGTCGATGAGGGACTGCAAATTGATCCAAGGCTGCAGGTTCGTCCGGATGATGCTGATCTTGCTCACTCCCTGTCAAGGCGGGAAGAGCGCATGTGGAAGGAACACCCTTAAGCGCAGCTCTTGTCCCACTTTACCTTTGTAAGGATCCGCATCGCGATGTGGTTGAGCAAGAGCTTATGCGCTGTCAGCTGAGAGACCATTTCCTCAAGCGCATTAGCAAGTCGCAGTGCATCCACCAAGGCCAGGGGCGTCGCTGGATCGTCGACACGTGTCCGCATCAGCTTGCACAGAGCCAACAGGAAGGGCCAGAAGGCTGGCGCCTCGAACCCTTTCTGAGAAAGAACACAAGCAAGTTGAGGCTTTCAGAAAGGCCTTCACAGATCGCATACCTCGAGGATTGCTTCAGAGTCATTCGAAATCTGGCAGACGTTCCTCAAACAGACCAGGGTGCAGTCCGGCAAGTCCGCCTGCAGCGCCAGTCTGATGACCGCCACGCCAAACCAGTCGATGACCGGGGGTCTGCTCTGCGGTGACTTGGCAAGGCGATCGTGGAGCGCTGCAAGACAAAGCTTCAGGCGCTTGGCATCACGAGGGGGAAGGTTGAAGTCACTCGCCTGAGTGCCCTGCACACCACACCACACCGAACAGAAAAGTACGGGACAGGCGTCTCGTGCGATCCAAGCTTCATCTTGTTTTCTTACTCGAAAGAGAGACAGCTGGCGCACGAGGGGCTGGCAGTTGATGAGTCTCGGTGCAAGCTCAGTGCTCGCCGAGAGGATGACGAGAAGTGCCAAAGCGTGTACGCGCACGGACGCTCCACCGGGGGCTGCCACGACCGACCCAATCGCATCGATGACGCCCATCATGCCCATCAAAGGGATGTTGCGCGGATCGGTCGACAAGTTCATGATGACCCTGCACAATACACAATACGGCAGAAACAAACGTGTACTGAGTGTGTGTATGTCTTTCATGAGAGAGGACGGGACCTTGCGATGAGCTTGAATGAGACAGCTGCTTTTGCAAAATCTTCGTCTTGCGAGTCTTCGGACGTTGATGAGTCCTCGCGCCGGTAGGCAATGCTGAGGGCCACTGGGCGACGTTCCCTTCTGCGATTGGTGTCGTAGAACCTCGACAGCCTGAAGCAAGCATTTCCGCCATGCATCAACGCATTTGTTTGTCGCTTACTTACTGCATCAGTTGCGACTTGAGGTAGTCGATGAAGACGTCCTCCAAGACAAATGTGACGCTGGCAGGGTCCTCGCTGGCGAAAAGCAGGAGACGCAGGAAAGAGTCCTCGTGCGGAGTGGGCGGAGCCACGAGGCTCAATCCGAGCGGCGTGGTAGTTGATCGTTGCATGGCGCCCCTCTTCATTCTCTTCGTGGGACTCAGTGACACGTACGACATGACTGAGGTGATGCTTAGCGACGACTTTCTCTTTCCGGGAAGGTCGCCCTTTGTCGCCTCCCGCCGAATGCTGGACAATGTAAGCCCCAACGACTTGGTGGTGCTCCTGCCCATCGACTTCATTGATTTGAAGGTGCCGGCCCTGCTGATGGTTGCGCTGCTCTTGTCGAGCTTCTCCTCCTGATCTTCGCCGTCTTCAGATTCAGAGATCATTGTCAGCCGCGTGTCGTAGCGAGACATCTGACAAGACACGCAACACCGCACGTGCAAGTGCCGATACGGTGGCAACTGACCGCCGCTCCCACCCACCCGTCTTTTGCGCATTCCGGCCCTGGCTCTCTCAGCCGACTCTTCCTCGTTCTTGTTCTCATCTGGGAGGGCGAAGTGGGTCCGCTTTTCAACCGAGGCACGGTGCCCATGGATGGGGTGGAAGGCGGGCTTCGGTTGGGGGCCTCTCGGTGCCGGACTCTTGTTGGCCAACGATGACACCACGGACGGAGCCAGGGACGCTGGGTGTGAAATAACCGACCCTCTGCGATCATATCCTTCCTCGTCTTCTGTGTCGTCGGGCTGCTCAGGTGATCCTTGCTCCTCTTCATCCTCGAGCCTCCTCTGCACCTCCTGTTTGAGCTTTTGTAGGAGACCGCTGGAACACCACCTGGCCCAGAAGATGTGAGCCGCCGAGCTGTTGAGAAAGCTGCACATGCAGTGCGTCCCGGCATTGAAAAGGTCCACAAATTCGCCTCCGTCGAAGAGTCCAAGCAAGATGTGATCGAGGCTGCTGAGTTTGGACAGCTGGATGACGAGCGGCTCCTCCTTGGCGACGAAGGCAGCGGTGCGGAAGAAGACCTCCCACAGGGCCTCCTTCTGCAAATTCTTCACCTCCTCCATGTCCTCGGCAGACATCTCCTCCGAATCATTATCATCTTCGTCGCTGTCGCCCTCACCTGGACGCCTGTCGTCATCGACCCTGCACAAAATGACTTCTTGTGACGGACGCGACAGGCTGGCTTGAGGCGGTGGGCTTACACAGCATCGTGAGCTGTGGAGGTGGTTGCCGCTTCTTTGCTAAAGTGCAAGGCGCCGAAGAACATGTGAGGCAGCACATCCATGTCGCTCCACAGTTGAACGTCAAGAGCACCTACTGTCAGAAAATACGCCGCCTCGAAAGCACGGATCTGGCAGATTCAATGGAAGGCCAATGTCCGTCAGGCTCGTGACGGCGAGAGTGCATGTATTGGAGTGAGTACCTGGACCTCAAAGAGTCCTTTGGCGGCGAAGAGGCTGCGCAAGACGAGCAGCGAGTCCCGCGTCAAGAACTCCTTCCGTACACTGACCGGCGCCATCGAGATGCGATGAAGGATCTGGGCAATCGTCCGCTTCACCGTCAGGTTTTGCTGGCCGACTGACAAACTGACGCGCACAAGACACACAGGTAAAGAGGGAGACCTCGACAGGCTGCTCGCTGCTTCGTACTTGCTCAGTGTCATGAATAGGCTCTTATCCGCCTTGATGTGATCGACGTCGGTGCCCAGATAATGCATGTTGGCCGCGAGAATCAGCAGCCTTTCCAGCTCGAAATCAACCCGAGTGGTCGCCCCATATGACGTCGACATGGCCGCAAAGACCCTGCCGGCCAGGTTTTGGTGGTAGCACAGGGCGACGAGAGAAGCAAAGACGAGACGCAGCGTCGAGGGAGTGAGCGGCAGAGGGCCCTCAGCCAGTGCCAAAAGGGTGTCGACCACACTGGGATGCTTCAGTATGGCTTCGTGAACCTCACGCACCCTCAGCAGATTGTGAAGGCACGCGAGCGACAGATGGAGGGCTTCTGCATACCGGGGAGGCGAAGACTGGGGTGCGACGGACCTGAAGTCATGTTCAGTCTCGACGTCTGCTGCCTCGTCCACATTCTTGGGGCTCTTTGGGCTGGCATCTCCTCCATCCCGTTCTGTCGGCGGGCGAGAGTCGTCGGCATACTGTCGCGATTGCTCTGCCAGTCGCAGCCGCACACCCGCCTCGTGCTTGTGGAGCAGAGCTGCGTACGACACCTGGAAGACCTCTCCGAGAAAGGCCACGACCGCTTCCTTGGTCATGTCCTGATAGACCTCGATGCTCTTGGTCCTCCCAAGGTTGGCCAATATGCGCACTTTCTCCAAAGCCTCGGCAAAATTCGATATCAAAGCATCCCGTGACTCTGCAGGAAGAGTAAATGCGAAACACGTTGAGGAATGCATAAATGACCCTTCTCGTGTGATTGCATTGCGCCCACCTGCCGGGCGGCATGCGTCCAGGCCCCCCGCTCTAATGACTGCATGGCGAAGGTTGTCTCTTGTGCTCCAGTTGGCAACCGCACCAAGCAGGTACCTTCGTGCACTGCTGTTGTCGCACAAGATGAACGAACGCAGAAAGTCTGTGTCCGCCTGTCAGTCAGCACACATTCATGCATCAATCGCACACCTTTGCTTGCGTCAGACATGTATGCACATACATCTTGACACACGACCTGGCAGTGCAGTGCAGCCCGGTTGCCTCACCTCGGCGAGCTTCTCCAGTCGATCGTCAGTGTCTGCACATGCGTTGGCCAAGAGCGAGCAGATGGATGCGGGATTCAGAAAGGCATGTCTCGTCCGCAGAAGAGCCAGGACGGATCCATGCAGCCCCGGCCGGACGACTGAGGGCAGGAAGAACGTGAGGCGGTTGAGAGCTTCGATGATGCACCGGGTGATGTCCAGACCAATGCCATACTCCAGGCACCGACACACAACCTGCGGGGGCGGTGCACGGCATGGCACGTCATATGCCATGCTGGCTACAAGGCTGGTTTGCTGGATTCGCATTCATTCCCTCTCACCGATATCATCTCCTCGACTTTCTTGCGCAGCTTTTTGACGTCCAGTGCCCTCAAGGGCTCAGGAATGTGCAGGTCGTGCAGAGATTTCACGGATTTCGGCCCGGAAGAGACGGACAGATCTTTGGACTTGTCCAAGGAGGAAAAACCGCCGGACAGACTCGCCGGTGCGGCTGCGGCACCTGACCATCGCAGCAGCGACAAAGAGAAAAGTGCATGTCTCCCATACATACATGACGTCACATCTCGATAGAGCATACCTGCGATCATCGCTTCTGGCGACGATGGGTTGATCAAGGAGTTGTGCACAATGACCAGATGGATGGTCGCCACGAACTCATGCATGGCATTCAGGAGGTGTCCGATGTCAGGGACGTCCTCCTCTTCCTCCCTCAGGTAGAACAGCCCTTTCCTCAGTCCCTTCGGGGTGCCCGTCTTGGCTGCATTGGCGATCTCATGCCTTTTCTTTTCTACCGTTGTCAAGAGAAGACCAAAGTCGAGCCGCGTGAGTGACTGGAGGAGAAGTTGAGCGATGTAGTTGGTGCTGCTCTTCGTCAGACCTGACGGACACGAACAGAGGATACATCGAGGCGGCGTATGCTGCGCTCCGTTTGGCTGTGTGTACCAGGGCTCGTCGGGTCCTTGTATTGCGACGATGTGGACCCGCCAGTCTTGTCAAGGCCAGCTTTAAGGGTGGCGCGGAGCAGTGTCGTTTCGGTCAGTTGTGAGACATCGCCGCCGCTCACCACAGATCGCGTGACGCCGAAGTCATGCTCGTCCGAACCCATTGCGGGGTCTGACCCGCCCGTCTGCCTCTGAAATGGAGGCAAACAAAGAGACAGACGACAGACAAGCGATCTCAGTCTTTCTATCTACCAGTCACTCACGCCTTCACTGTCTGCGTACCGACTGTACGTACCAGTTGCTCTTTCAGGAGCGAGTCGTCTGACTGTCCCAGCTGTGCACTGTCTTCATCCAAATCGTGGTCCTCCTGGTCTTCCTCAATCTCAATGGCTAATTTCACGGCGCCTCGTTCCTTAGCCTTGAGCTTTTCTTTGTAGAGCCGCCAATGCAAAGGCTCATCAAAATCTTCGTCCTTGCCGCCCTTCTCACTGCGGACGCCCAGCCCCTTCCTCGCGACGGGTCGGATCCTGCTGCCGTCCACTGGGTAACGGAAAAGCAGGTCCTCCGCAAGGTTGCCCGCGGTGTAGAGACCGATGACGTACTTGTGGAAGCCCAGCATCTCAGGCGAGTACAAGGAGGTCGTGCTGGTGGCTGCAAGGGACGTCGGCATATCGTCGGCTGCGCCGCCCTTGTACTTCCTCGAGCGGCCTTTGTGCTCCTCGGCGACAGCAGCGTATCGCCTGAAGAGCTGCTGGGGGTGGAAGTGGGTGTCGAAACGACGGCAGTAGCTGAGCAAATCATTCATGAGGCCGGCCGTCGACGTTAGGGCTGCACGGCTGGCGCCATCCATCGACAGGAGTGCGATAAAGGCAAAGGCAAACAGAGTGAGCTGCGAGTCGGGGGACGAGCATGCTGTCGCACAGAAGGGCAGAAGAGACACCACCTTGAGCTGCGATAACAGCGGCATCCTGACGGCTTCGCTGCTGAGTCCAACACACAGCGTCTGAAAGACCTGTCGACATAAGATGGAGGAGGGGACGAGGCCCAGGCGGTCATAGATCATGGAAGCCGCATCGTCGGTCGTCGATGTGCTGTCTCTCAGGCCCTGGTTGGAGCTGACGGTTGCGATCTCAGCGAGGTTGAGGTCATCCACTGTGAGCTCGGGATTGGCCGTGCGGTGCAGGATTGCGATGCGGGCCGAGCCGCGACAGAAGGACGAGTCAACGTCATTGTCCCGGAGGTTGAGGATCGAGAGAAAAAGCTGGAGGCGGGTTGGCGGGAAGAGCAGCGCCTTGAGGAACTCATCACCCTACAGACTCAGAACAGAATCAAGTAGCAAGACACATGTGGCGAAAGAAACACGGAGGGAACCGCATAGATCTTTCGGTCTCACGGACCAGCGGAGAGATGCACAGGGCACATATGGCGGTGACAGACGGCAACAGCAGCTCGACAAGCGGTGGATGCGAGGCACCTCTTCCAACGTACGTGCCTCCCATCCCACGAGAAGATGTGAGAGACGAGCTCCCGTGCACGCCCGACTGCTTCGTGTGTTGGAGGGCGGCGGAAAGGTAGAGCATGAGCGTGTCCATGATACTGACGTCCCGCAGGGCATCGATGCAGTCCTTGTCACCAGACAGACTTAGCTCACAGAACAATGAGCTGAAAGATACCGATATTGTCTCCTCATTGTTGTCCGATTGCCCCTCGCCACCGCCACCACCACCCGACAGAGCCAAGTGGGCCCACTCTGATATCGAATTCATGTGCGGCACAAAGAAGGACCGCAGTGACTTGGACCGGCTGAGTGCCAGCAAAGCCGAGGCGGCCCTGGCACAGATGCGCGGCGGGAAGCTACACAGGTAAGCCTGCAGCAGGATGGAGATGACGTCCATCGATCGTAGCAGCGAGACTTGCACGGCCCGCATGTGGCAGATTTCGGCAAAGAACCTAACGACGGCCTCGCCGCCGTCCTTGTCGATCTGCTGCGTGAAGAATAGGCTGAAGAGATGGTGCGGCACGTGGAGGTCCACCAGCTTGTGATTGGTGGGGAAGTGGTGCTCCAAGGTGAGCGAGGCCAGGCAGTGGATCACACAACGGCCCACAAACGAGTCGTCTCCGCCCTCTCCACCAGCACCAGCTACGGCCGTGCCACTGCCGCTGCCACTATAGCCAGGTAGGAGGTTGACGAGCGCAGGAATGTAGTCGTCTTCAGGTCTGACCTCCGGATGGATCTGCAGAAAGATGCGCCGGCCGGTGGGGTCTTCGAGCAGGTTCTGCAGCAGGTACAGCCCCAGCTGCCTTAGCTCCAGCTCAGGCGAGTAGAGGAAAAAGGAGCACACGTCAATGCTCCCGAGCAATGCGAGCTGCCCCCGGTACTGCTCGGCTTGCGCGAAGGGCAGGAGCGTCTTGAGTGCGTTGGAGATGAGCTGTTGGTTGGCTGTGTGTGCGGAGGTCGGCTGGCGACACGCATCCAACAACACCGGCAGGCCGTCTTCTGCGGCGATGGCTCGCTGGGCTGCTGGGTCCTTGGAAATGTATAGGAAGGTCAGGAGGCAGCAGACGCGGATGTACTCGTCAGTGGGGACCTTGTCGTAGAGCAAGGCCACCAGGTAGACGCCATTCTGCAGCACGAACTCATGGATGGTGTCGTCGTAATAGGTCAGGGTCGAGCACAGCAGGGCCAGCCGAGTGGCCACCTCACGAAGGCCCAGGTAGTCCCGCCACGACGTGTGGATCGTCGAAAACAGACGCATGTCGCAGATGCGAGCACGGCTCTCGGCAACACCAGACAGCCGCCGACAAATGTCTGACGTGTAGGATGCCGCCTGAGATGACATCCTGACATCCCAAGGACAAGCAAGAGACACAGAAAGGAGGGGGAATGCACACACATGGATGGATGGATGGATGGATGCTCTCACTGCTGACCTGTCCATGAGATTTGGGTTGAGCAATCGTTGTTCGATGCTGAGTTGGTGCAGCGTGGTGCGCGCCGACTCGACCAAACAGCAGTTGTGGAGCAGCTGAGCGAGGTAGTCGACATACAGGCCGTCCACTCCCTCGGTGTCGTCCATCTTGGACAGCAGCTTGGCCAGCAGGGGCCGGTCCTGGAAATAGTAATCCCCCTGCCGCTGCTGCTGGTCTGTCGTCTCGCTTGTGTCGGACGAGACATTTGCCAAGGCCATCATGGCATACCGCCGCACATCAGTGGGGACGTCATCCGGCTGGCCCGGCTCGCAGTAGCCGTCACAGGCCAGACGCACCTGCGCACCCACACAAACCGACACAGAAGGACATAGCAGATCTGTTGTGTGTCCCACATGCACACACTAGCTCAGCTGTCTGACTGGCCGGCCACTCGGATGTGTACGTCCGTCCAGTACATGCCAAGTTGAATAATTAATTACCAGATCATCGAGTTCCGATCTGCCCAGACAGGTCGGGTGTGTGGCGGCCAGTGCGGCCACAATCATGAGGGCATTCACTCGGACGCTCTCGTCCAAGTCACCCAGGTCGGCCATCATCAGAAGCGACGCAACCGGCTGCAGCTGCAGGATCATGGGGTGTAGCCGGGGCGTCATGCACAGGTTGCGCACCGCCCTCGTCACGTGTGCTCGGATGGGGAGGTCATCGGTGAAGAAGTGTTCGCGCAGGACGTGCAGCAGGCGGCTGTTGCTGATGGGTGTGTGTAGGTCGGTGTCCTCGCACATGTTGGCTATGGTGCTGCAGGCATACGTGGTGAACTCCTCTTCCTCAGACAGGCCGGCCGCCTCTAGCAGCTCAATACTCTGCGCGTCCGCCAGCAGAAGCCGCGAGTTGGCCGCGTGCAGAGACAGGTTGTGCAGGATGCCCAGCACCAGCTCGATCAGCGTCCGCATGAACTGGCCGTCATCCATGCCCCCACCACCCCCAGAGGCCTCTGTGGGCTCTTTCCCCTGCTGTGCTGATGGTGTGTCTATGTGCGACAGGCCCTGTGTGCCCAGTGTGAATGCCTGGAGCAGCAGGGGAATGACCCCATATTGCGGCAGCAGCTCCTGTGCGCTCTCGTCTTCCGTCACGCCGCGAATGACAGTGAGGGCCTGCAGCCGTTGGGCGGCGCTGGCATGTGCCGTCATGTAGGGGAAGATGTACTCGTGGATGGACTCGTCGAGCATCATCCGCCGCTGCGTGCCGTCACACGTCAGGTTGGCCAGCAAAAACAAGGCCGCCGAGGCCACACTGGGGTCGTTGCCGGTTGGCCTCATCACACGGCTCAGGGCGATCTGCAGCACCTTCAAGTCATAAAACCTCGGCCAGAAGGCTGGCGTGGCCGTGAGGTTTCCGAGGGCCGTCAGCAGGTGGGAGGTGGTGTGTGGGTCCTCTGAGTCGATGAGGAGCGAGACGAGATGCGGCATGAGGTCCTGCTTGAGGAGCCCTTCGTGTGTCTGCTTGTGGCTGCTGAGGTTGGCCACGGCGAGGGCGCCATAGCGCTTTGCCTCAATGTCCAGTGATAGGAGCTGCGGCAGCAGCGCCTGGAACCAGTGGGGCGTGTTGAGGATCCGCAGCTGATTCTCCTGCTCGCCACATGCCGCTGCGAAGGCACGGATGGCGCCCCGCTTCTCTTTGAAGTTCTGCTCACTCCGCAGCACCTTGATCAACTCACCCAACGCCGCCATCACTCAGATGGGCTGGAGACCAAGAGGGAAACGACGGGGAATTCGATGCTCAAGCATATATTGTCACGGCAGTCCTCCAGCAAAACAAGCCAACAGCCTGCTGCTGCAGATCATGGTTCGGTTTGAGACGCCGCTGGGGGCCCACAGCCGGCCTTAAGAGCTCCGGAAAACCGCTCGGAGTCCTCATTTCCCGCACAACTCATTCACGCTTGTCTCGGCTTGTACGATGCAGGATTCGTCTGTCCTCTCACCTCCGACGCTCTCTGGCTCACTCAGCCGCTTTGTCCGGCCACAGAGTCTCATCGCTTCTTTCGTTGGCGTAAGGAAAGACAGGCCCTGCCGGATGACCAGGTCCAACAACTCCCAGCTCAGCAGCGCCACCACAGAGTGCGCCTCTTACGAGTCATTACCCTCGACGCTATCGCCCAGCAGTACCGACACCAGCAACTGGACGTCGAGCACCACAGTGCGGAGCACACGCACGGCCTCGACGAGGGCGGGAGAGCGTTCTGATGACGATGGTGCGCGGACGCTGCCGTCTTCTTCGGAGGTGCTGTGCCGGCGAGCGGCTTTCTTGGACTTTTGGTACGTAGAGGCGACCGACCGACCAGTGACCGACTGGCTGAGATTCTCTGCTTGGTGACATCTGTCTTGCCATGTGTCTTTCAGGCTTGAGAGGGCGGCCAAGCTTGCCCAAAAACTCCCCGTCCTCGCCGACCGTGTGGTTCGACAGCGCATCGCATTCGAGGAGCACTCCCTGCACCTCCGGCATGCCTCATGTGCCCCCTCCCCCGTGAGCGCCGCCCTCACCAACCTGAGGTGCCGCATGGAGCACCATCCCCAGCGCCACCAGCTAACGGTCATACTGCGAGAGTATGGCGACTTCGCTGAGAGCGTGGCTCGTCAGGAAGTGGTGGTCAGCCTCCTGACGATGCTTGACGTCGTGTCGAGTGCCGCGTCACCTGGTTCGCCGCCGGCTGTCTCGTCGAGCCCACGGGGCAAGAGCAGAGGAGGAAGGGCCGGGGCGAGTGCGCCTGCGTGTCTGACGGCCATATCTGAGTGTCCCTGTGAGGGCTCGAGGTCTGCGAGGGCGGCATGGATCAAGGGGCTGATGCACCGGCCGGACGTCCAGAGGGCCACAGCCTTCATCGAGGTACGTTCCCACGCAAGACGACTCGACTCACATAGACAGGACACGCACGCAATGGTGTCCGGTCCGATTCGCACACGGATCTCTCTGTGTGTGTTGGTGCCGTGACCAGACGGCGATGAGTCTGCCGGAGGCGTCCAAGGTTTCCTGCGAGCTGGCGTGCGAGGCCCTGTTCAAGCTGTCGTCAGCTGTGGTGCTCCACCTGCTGGCCGTGGTCCTCGACGCACACAACGAGACTCGCGAGGCGTCCAACTGACTCACTCACTGACTGACTCACTACTCTGTGGTGCGTGTCACTTACTCTCTGTGTACGTGTGTGGGCCGGAGGGCCGCTCGGTGCTGGAGGGCACAACTGTTTTGTGCTGTATTTTTGAAGCATGAATGACGGACCGACCGATGAAGTGAAGTGCAGTCGTCATGCCATGCGTTCGCTGATGCCATCCATCCATTCAGTGATTGATTGCTGGACACAGACGTGTCCGCCGATCAGCGGCTGGACATGCCTGTGCTAGGAAGGGGTGACGGGCCCGTGCACCCACTCACTAGGCAACCTGAGTTGTTGTTGATGTTGCTATCTTGTTGATAAGCGACTGACTGAATGGTTGCGTTTTCGTCTCCTGCGACAAACACGACCCTGCCAACAAATATCTGACCGACCGACAGACTTGACTGACTGGCTGGTGGACATACACCTACTTGATGATTGACCTGACGCGCTGCTGTGGTTTGTTTGCTGCGGGCTGGATTTTGCTTTGCCTTGCCTTGTCTTCGGTGTGCCTCCTTTCAGTCGTCTTTCTCGTATCCCGGTGGTTGACGAGCTTGTGCGTCAGGCCGGGGGTGCGGATGGGCGAGAGGAGGATGGACGCACGGGGGCGATCCAGACACGGACAGATAGACAGACAGACAGACAGACAGAGTGAGATGAGGCGTTTCTCGTGCGACTGGCGCACCGTGCCTGTGTCTTGGTTGGGGTGCGTAGAGGTCGCAGTGTGCTTTGTTAAGAATAAGGACTTCGCTGCTACCTCTGTGCATCAGACCAAGACACACGCACATGTGACCGCCTGCACGTTTGGCACACAGACAGCCGCCCCTCGATGTGAAACACTCATCGGTTTTGCTTTCGCGCCAAGACTTGTTGACTTGTTGATGAACGCTGGCCAGCCGGACTAGGGGCAGCATGGGTGTGATGGACGGATGGGTGGCTCGTGTTTCGGTTGCCATGGTCGGTGTTGTCCAATATTATGGCTGGCTGTGCACGGCGGGTGTTTGTGTGTGTGGTTGGAGGCAGGCCGGATGAGTGACAGCCAGCACCTCCCAAAGACGAGCGTTGGGTCGCTTGGTGTCACTGCCTGTCTGCCCTTTTCGCCCTCTGTGCATGCCGTCGATTGATAGACCACACACACAAAGCATCCATGGGCGTGGCCGTGTGCGGATCGATCGACAGATGGATGGATGGTAGGTGATTTGCTGAAGCGGGTCTCCCGCCCCACTCCCTCACTCGACACACAGTGGGGGGCATTTTGGACTCGGAGGCGGGGAGCTTTTTCGCCACACGTGCAAGAAAGACACAAGACACCCACCCAGCGAGCTGAAGGGGGGAGCTAGTAAATATTGTGTCCGCATGGCAGGTTGCTGGTATAGATGGGGGAAGCTTGTTGGATGTTGCCTGTACAGCCAGGGGAGGGGGGTGTGGTTCCCATACATGAATGAGGGCCCGACTGCACATATTTACATACAGCAACGATCTGCCTTCCAGTTCGTTGTCGGCGTGACCGCCTTCCGTGAATGGCCAACCAAAGCGACGGACACAAGTCAGTCACATCCACCACGCACGCACTCACGCATAGCCATACACACGCTGATAGTCAACAAACTGGTCATGAATCCGCTGCCTCAGTCTCTCAGACAGCAAGTGTCGCCTGTTCTGTGTCTCTCCAGACAGATGCTCCGGCCACAGCTTGCTCACAGGGCAGGGAGATCCATACATGGGCGGCTGCAGTGCCTTGACGGATCTCTTCACCGCCTCCAGTGCTTCGAACGGGTCGGTCGGCAGCCCACAGCAGGCTGCCACGTCCCTTAATGCGCCAAGCTCGTCAGACATGATCCTCTCATAGCCGATGTTGAGCGAAGCGATTGATGCCCACCTGCACAGCAACACACAGACACACGGATGACACCGATGAACGAAACAAGTCCGACTAAGTGCGCACCTCAGGTGGTCTCGCACATAGGCCTCCATATGGGCACAGATCGAATCAGGTGCCGAAGAGATCCATCTGACCCTCAGGTAAGACGCCACCACGTCCCTCAGATCTCTGTGTGTAACGATAACGACCGTCTCCCTGTTGCTCCCACCATCACCATGCACCAGATCCCCATTATCCTCCCTCAGCGGCCAGTCGTGTGTCTTGATCAACAGGTTCTTGTGCCCTGCCCCGCGCGCAGCCAGCTTCTCCTTCGAGACGTCTGCAATCCAATAAGCGTCCAGCGGTTCGTTAGAGTGCGCGAACAGCAGGCGGATGGCGTTAAACAGCCACGTTGACGCAGATCTTTCGGGGCCTGTACGTATGACCGCAGAAGGAGAAGGAGCGGTATGTATCCGCTCGCCTCATGAGTGTGTGCCGTGTCGACCTGCTGCGATGATGGTCTTGCCGTGTGGGACGACGGGGCTTGGCGTTGCGTGCAGCTCCTCACAGTAGCCGTTCGAGCAGGTGCCATACTCGAGAAAGCTCTGGCACTCCATCATCTGGGCTTTTTTAGTGGACAAAAGCGTTTCACGGAGCAATGTATTTACATTGCCCAAAGGAGGACGATGTGTGGTTGTGATGAGCTCGTCCAAGGCCTGGCTTATCAGATCTGTGCGCCAAATTGGATATCCTGACTGAGGTACAGTACGCCGAATGCACCTGCCTGCAGGGCATCCAGCTGCGGCTCCTCCCTCCAAATAGGGACATGATTGTCCAGAGATAGGGTACTTGCTTACCTTGGAAGCCGTGGTCGCGGGTGATGGATAGCCGCCCTGACTCGAGGCGTGGCGGCCGGGTGTTCCATACGCCGAAATCATATGACCCTTCTCTGGCTGCACAAACCGCAAAGAGGTCAACACAATCTCGTGCGCATGCGCCACATGTATGTACACACCACAAACGAGGAATGTGTTGTGTTGTGTTGTGTTGTGTTGTGTTGTGTGTGTTGTTGTCAGGTTGGACATGCTGGAGGAGCTGGGTTTGTCAGAGATCGCATCATCGAGCCCTGCGTTCGAGAGCGACGAGTGGCAGGGGGAGAGAGACCGGCTGGAGGCGTCCATCGCAGCCCTGCAGAGCGAAAACACCGACTGCAGACAGGCCATGGAGACCGCACGGCAGGCCGAGCTCACCGCCATGCGCAAGCTCAACGAGTTCCAGCAACTCTCCAAATCGCAGACGCTGCTCGTCAAGACCGAGCTTCACAAGACTCGCGTCAAGCTGAGGAACGCCAAGCGGCTGGCGACCTTTTACAAGGGCCAGGTGGACTGGGTCAGGGAAAGACAGCCGGGCGTCTTTGACCAGGACATGCCGTCCGAGCTGAGGGATCTGCCTGAGGAGGAGCCCGAGGAGCCTCCATCACGGCAGACGGATGGTATGGCAGCACTGCTGTCGTCTCCGCTGGGCCCGCTGACGCCTCCCCCCACACCCTTCCCCCATGCGGCGTCCCTCCAGTCGTGCTCGCCTTCCTCTCAGTCGCAGCACAGCCCACACTCGGACTACCAGGCGCTGGTCGACAAGATCAGGACGGAAATACGCGAAATAGAGGTATGGTGGGGTGGGATGACACGGCAGAGGGATAAAAGGGACGCAGATCAGATGCATGGCTGGATCATGGATGTGTGTGTGGGGGGGATGTGTTTAGGTGCCCGAGCTGACGCAGAAGCTGCAGGAGGCGCAGGACAAAGTGGACACCTTCAAGCGGCACATCAAGAAGCAGGCCAGCGAACTCGACAAGCTCAGGTCCAAACTCAGCAGCTCGGCGTCGGCCTCCACCCTGGCGCCGTCATCCTTCTCACCGAGCGCGTCGCCCTCGGCCCAGTCCGACGCCACCAACGGCCTCCCTGGCGACTACGAGAATGGCAGCGGCGATGACGACACGCAAGCCATGCAGCTGAGAAAGAGCCTCGACAAGGCGCACAAGGAACTGCAGGACTGCAGAGTAGGCCTGCAGTGCCGGGAGGGCTGGTGCGGTGGGCGAATGGATGAAGGGGAGATGTGTGTATGTTGTGTGTGTTGAATGCAGGCCGAGTACAAGGCCAGGGAGGGCGAGTTGGTCAAGAAACTGAAGCAGCTGGCGCAGGCATACCAGGCGCTGCAGAAGAAAAACAAGTAACTCGCCAGCCCAGCCGGCTACACAGCCACCAAGTCGATGATCTGTTCTGTCCTGCTCTGACCTCCGCCGTCTGTGTGTTTAGGTGTTTGGAGGAGCAGTCGAGTGTGAGTCGGGGCGAGAAGGCCGCACACCTGCAGTCTCTCCGCGCCCTGCTGCAGCGGCACAGACAACTGCTCCTCTCACTCAAAGACGCCGTCAGACAGGTACACAGACACAGACACATCGAGTCAGTCAGTCAGTCAATTGTGTTTGCCTGTGTCTCTGTGCTGTGCCCTCATGCAGGAGGTGTCGAGTCTGCGTGAGTGGATGGAGCCCTACCTGTTGGCTCGTCTGCCATCGTTGGTGGCTGCTGCCGAGGCGGACCGGCGGGCGGTGTACGCCAAGTTCGCCAAGGAGGCCCAGCTGCGGCGCAAACTCCACAACCTCGTGCAGGAGCTCAGAGGCAACATACGAGTCTACTGCAGGGTCGGTCAGCAGGACCTGCCAGACAGAGGGATCGATCTCTTATGTCGAATCCTTCCACACACCAATCCATCCATCCATCCATGTCTGTCTCCATCAGGTCCGTCCTCTGCTGCGCAACGAGGCCAACTCTTGCATCACCTTCCCGGGCGACGATGAGATCCGAATCACGGTAGGTACCAATGTGTCTCCAGACGGACGGCCGGCCGGCGCTGGCTTCCTGCCTGGCTGCCACGTTACGTTGTTGGTCCATCCATGTGTGCCAACAGAACGATGTGACGGGCCAGAAGAAGACCTGGCGCTTCGACAAGATATTCGCCCACGAAGCCACACAGCAGGAGCTGTTCGACGAGGTAATAAAGCGAAGCGGGCGGGGGGAGGGGAGGCACCACTCACTCGGACACATATGTATACGCCAGTCAGTCAGTATATTATTCATCAATAATCAGGTTCAGGCGTTGGTAGTGTCGTGTCTGGACGGCTACAACGTGTGCATATTCGCATACGGCCAGACGGGGTCGGGCAAGACGCACTCAATGCAGGGGACGGCAGAGGACCCAGGCATATACCACAGGACATTCCGGGAGCTCTTCAACGTCATACACGACAGAAGAGGGGACTGGAGGTGAGTGAATGAGGTGAGTGGATGAGTGGAGGGAGCTGCGAGGGAGGGAGGAACGCTGGGAGGGAGAGAAGCATTATTGATGGATGGATGGATGTGTGTGTGTGTGGTGTGTGTGTGTGTAGGTACAAGTTGCAGACGTCGATGATAGAGATATACAACGACGAGATACAGGACCTCCTCATCGACGCAAACGACACACGGCCACCGAGGAAACTCGCCATACGCACCGTGAGTACATGACAGACAGACAGACAGACACCCCACACAAAACATACACACACCATGCAGACAGGCGTCGATTTGCACGTCCTGTATGTGTGTGTGTGTGTGTGGGTGTGTGGGTGTATTTGTCAGGGTCCGCAGGGCAACTATGTGCCCGACCTGGTAATATGGCCCGTCAACACGCCAGAGGAAGTTCAGAACGCGCTCAACACAGGCACACAGAACAGGTGCGCCGCAGCCCACTGACACACTCACTCACGCATCCTTCCTTGATTCGATTCACGTCTGTGTGTATGTCTCACTGACTCACTGACTACTCACTCGACCAGGTCGGTGGGCTGCACCAACCTCAACGAGCACTCGTCCCGGTCGCACCTCATCCTGAGCGTCTACTGCGACATCACCACACCAAACCACACGCAATACCAATCAAGGTAGGTAGGTAGGTACCACAGCCAGGCAGGCCACGACGAGCACCACTGGCAGGCACACCTGTGGCTGGCTGCAGGTTGCACTTAGTAGATTTGGCGGGCTCTGAGCGTCTGAAGAAGAGCGGTGCGACGGACGAGCGCGCCAAGGAGGCCATGTTCATCAACCGCAGCCTGACGAGCCTTGGCGACGTCATCGCCGCTCGGGCGGCCAAGACCCCCCACGTTCCATATCGCAACTCCACCCTCACCTACCTGCTGCAGGTCTGTCAGTCAGGAAATGGCTGGATGACTGAATGGGTGGCTGGACTGACTGGATGGTGTATTGCTTGCTCGGCATCCCATCCATCCATGGGCTCTTTCGTAGGATGCGCTGGGAGGCGACTCTAAGACACTCATGCTGCTTCAGATCAACCCATCTGACGATGTGCGGCGTGCCGTGCGGGCGTGTTATGGGAGGCTGGCAGGCAGGCAGGAGAGTGCCCTTCCTCCGTGTGTGTTTCAGGCGTTTGAGGAGTCGCTGTGTTCGTTGCAGTTCGCTGCTCGCGTCAACAATGTACGTATGTGTGCGCCTGACTCATGTGATTTCGCTTCTCTCTCGCTCTCTCATGAGAATGTGGCCCATTGGTTGGTTCAGGTCGAGATGACCGTCGAGAAGAGGAAGTGAAGCTGATTCCCGCCCACGATGGCGGGATGGGAGATCGGTGAGATGGTTTGGTCAAGACAACGTGTGTGCCCTCCCTTGTAGAGATACGGGATGAATGGATGAATGGAATGGATGTAGAGAGAGACACGTACAGAACGAACATCCCCGCGTGTGTGTGTACATATGTCCTTCAAGTAACACTTGAGCTTTACGGAAAGGTCCGTACTGCATGAGTCTGCCTGCCTTGCCATCCATCCATCCATCCATCCATGTATGTCTTGCCACCGATAAAATGCGCATATCACGAGAAGCCGAACTCCCCCTCGTATCATGGGATGTCGACGGCCCTGAGGTACGTACAAGATCCGATCCACTCACGAGTGCTGCGGATGGAGCATATAAATATTGGGGTGTGTGCATTCATTCCATCCATCCATTCAAGTGTGCCAAAGGAGACACGCTCTCTTTTGTCTTCGCTGCCATCCGTGATAGGTATCAATCGGCTAGCGATGTCGATAGGGCCTGGGAGGGGCAGAAGCAATGCCAACAGACGGACGCTGTTATTAATGGGTGATACTCTCATCGTTGTCCCATCTCCCTCCCCCTCCCCCCTGCCAACTGATGTGTCCGCCAGTGGTTCGGTTCACTGGGGCGTTCGTTATTGCTCTCTCGTTGTGGCTCGCGGCCTGCAGGAAATCGATCTGCGGAGGGTGTGTTCAGAGTCGTTCACCTATATTAGTGTGTGTGAGCGCGAGTCCGCCGCCCCCATCCATCCGGCCAGGACCGGCCTCCTGTAAGAAATACAAAGTTAACATACGTACGTACTGTGCAAGTGTAGTAGACAGACGGACAGAGAGAGATAGATAGCGCATAGACCAGGCCAGGCCAGGTAGGCCAGGTAGGCACCGACCGGCCGACCGATAGCCTGCACAGACATACAGCAAAATGACGGACTGGACCATCCATCCACCCATCCATCCATCCAGTCGTCAGCCAGCCCCACACACGATGAATGCAGCCACGATCGGTCAGTCACGCCAACCACACTCATGTAGGTACGTATGCAATCGATCGCTGGACGGATGGACGGATGGATGGATGGATGGCTCGGGTCCAGCGCGCCGCTCCCTTGAAAACTCCCTCTCTCCTCTCCCGCCCTCCACATCTGGTGGGTCCTGTGAAGGTCACCATCCATCCAGCCAGCCATGAGCCATGAAGACAGTCAGTGTGTCGGTCGAGAGGGTCCTGATGTCTCATCAATCACGCTGGTCCGACGATGGCGTTCCACACCGAATCGGCGACGAATTCAACCACGATCTGCTTACCTGCACCACACCACACCACACCACACCAATATGCCACATCAACAACAACAGCGCATCGCGTCCCCCCCCCTCGCTGACGTACCGGCAAAGTATCTGCCGTTGAGGGCCTGTGCGACCTTGACGGCCTGCTGGACGTCCTGCATCTTGACCCACACTTTGCCATCGATGTTGATACGGCTGAGCCACACGCGCGCGACGGTGCCGTGGCTGCTGCACTCCTGCTTGACGTCTTCCATGACGTCCTCGAAGAAGGTCGGGTCTGACTCCAGGTTGACCTCCGACGCCGAGAGCATGTTGTTCAGCACTATGTTGCTCGACATCTCACCCGACGGGGCGATGGGCGCAGCAGCGGCAGGGGGGACACCGGAATAGGCTGAGATGAGAGAGGAAAGGCAGCCAGCCACGCATTGGCACAACACACACACACACACGTGGATTGGAGGAGGCGGTGGGTGCAGCGTTACTTACCATTTGGGTAGGCCATGCCGGCCACCATGGGTGCCTGGGGCACCGTAGGGGTGGTGGAGGTGGACGCCAGTTGGGCATCCCGTGCGAGTTTCTTCATCAACTCGATCTTGGCCGTGTTGCCCGACATCAGCCCCCCACCCGCATCCTCCAGCCGCTCGTTGTCCAGGGCGTCCGCAGCCGCCTGCTGCTGCATCAAGAGCTGCATTGCATCGATGGCCGGAGGGAGGGAACACACAGCGTGATCAACAGATGGACGGAGATGAAGCTCTGATGTGTTGTGTCTGTCCACTCACCGATGGGCCATACAGGCCTTGCTGCTGGAGCTGGTTCTTCGACTCAGTCGCTAAACCAACCTGACAGAGCGCGCACACACAGCACAGCACAGCACAGCAACATCCATCACCCATACGAACACCAGACACACACGCACATCTCCCCCCCTCCCTCCATCCCACCTTGAGTTGTTTGCCCGATATGTCGAAGCCGTTCATGGCCGTCATGGCCTCCTTGGCGTCAGCGGCGTTGCGGAAGGCTATGAAGGCGTACCCGCGACACAAACCCGTGTAGGGGTCCTTGTGGATGTCCACGTTGTCAATCGCGCCAAACGGACTGAACAACTGCACACAAGAGGCAGGCAGACGAACACACAGAGAGAGTGAATGAGTGAGTGAGTGAGACAGGTCATGTGGTGTGGTTACGTCTCTGAGTTCTGAGTCGGTGATGTTTGCGAGTTTGTCGGTGAGGTTGCCGACGTAGAGCTTGAGCGGACCCTCGCTGGACGCAACCTGAGCCGCCATCTCCCTGCAGGCAGGGGGCGACACAAATACATACATACATACCCATCCGTCAGCACAGACAGATACAATAGGCAGGCCCTCGTTCGTGTGCTCACTTGGCCGCTCTGGCAGCTCTGTTCTTCTCAGCCTGCGACGCCTGCACCTTGATAGGAACCCCTGCACACACATGAATGACACACGCGATTTCGCTTTTGTCCTCCTCTTGGCCTCTGCGTCTTGTGTGTGAGTGTTTGTGTGTGTGTGTGTACCTTTGATGGGGGACCCGCTGAGTGAGAGCGCCTTGATGAGGGCCTCCTGTGTGTACAACTCCACATACGCAACACTGAAACAAGGCGACAGACACAACAGCCAGCCACACAGAGTCGTCGACACACCAAGCTGTGTGCACAGTGCAGTCAGTGCCTCCCTCCCCTACTTACCCTTTGGATTTGCCCGATCGTTGGTCGCGGATGACCTGGATGTCCTTCACCTTACCTGCATGCTGCACGCAAACACACCAACCAACACGCAGACAGCACCGGATCGATCGGATCACGCCCTCGAAGTGTCCGGGTGGTGTGTGGCGGATAGATAGGACGTACGCACCTCTGACATGAACTCATAGACGTCTCTCTCGTCGGCTTTAAGTGACAGGTTCAGCACCAGCACCGTCAAATCGTCACGCCGCGCCTCCTCAATCTCACGGCCTGCACACACACGTCAGTCATCATCGAGATCAGATCACACACAGCCTGCCACCTTGTGTGTATGTGAAATGTGTTTTGGATGGCTGTGGTGCACCACACTACAGCCAGGACACATGTTAGCCAGCTCACGTACGTCTCTTTTCCTCCTCCTCGGCCCTGAGCAGCTCCGCCCGTTGTCGTCTTTCCTCCTCCTCACGCAAACGCTCCTTCTCCTCACGCGCACGGCGACGCTCAACACTGCACCACACACACACACACACACCCCAACCACATCGGATTGCCGGTTCTTTGCTGTCCTCCCCGCCACGCGCTTGCCCTCATGCACCTGCGGCTCCTGCTTCTGTGTCTTCTGCCCCTGTCCCGCCGGTCGCGTCTGTTGTCGCGGTCATCGTCGTCGTCATAGTCGTCATAGTCCCTGTCGCGCCCCTTGCTGCGGCTTTGACGCTCGTTGCGATCGTGGCTGCCGTAGCCGTTCTCCAGCCGCTCCTCGCGCTGCTTGGACCGCGACTTGGACCCGCTCTTCCCGCCGCCGATACCGGCCTGTAGCATGGGTGTGGTGGACACACGAGCGACAAGTGACACAAAGCGGATAGAAGCTGCACATTTTTGATTCCTCACCTCAATCAGTGCTTCAATGGCGTCCCTTTCCGCAGACATTGGTGCGATTTCTCCTCTTTCTGTCAGCTCCCCGATGCGAGCTTTTCTTGCGAGCTTAGCTTTTTTTGGTCGCTCCTCTTTTCTCACCCGCGAGTCTCAACAAGAAACCACCCCCTAGGTCCAATCAAATACGCCGCGTGCACGATTTGGAAAATGAGCGGTGGGCCGGGCCCCCCTGCAGCCGCGGACGAAAGGAGAACAAGCGCAGCGGCAGATCCGCCGCAAGCGGAGGAGAATGAGGAGAGCCCTCAGCCATCAAATCCACAGGGCAAGCATCCTGCTGCAGCCGATGCAGGAGCAGGCTTCGAGTTTGTCTCATCCGCCGGCTCCCCCAATCTGCCTGCCTCCCTACCGCCGCCTCCCATCCCCGGCCCATTCCCCCCTCTCCAAGAGCCGCCGGCGCCGCCAGAGACGGCAGAATCTGATCAGCCACCCCCAGCTGCTGCTCCACGGGGTCCGAGGCAAATGGGGGAGCGAAGGGTGAGTCACAGTCCTACTTCCCACCGTCCTCCCGCAGAGCAGAGGGCGAGGAGGGTGAGTGAGTCGCCACTTGCAAGTGGGACGGGGGCGGGCATAGATGAGGATGCGACGCCAGTGTCTGGGCCGAGAAGGGACAGCAACAACAGGCGGCGGTCGTCTCTCATGTCTCTGGCTCAGGCGGGGGGAGCTGGTGCTGGTGCTGCTGCTGGTGCCGATAAGGAGGAGGGCAAGAGGGTCAGTGCCGTCACTGCCGTGGGGGGGGCGGCTGGTGGGGGGGGCGAGGACAAGCCAAAGATGGTACGTACGTATGCATTTTCGAACATGCATGCCATCTATGCATCTTTGCATGTGGATGAATGTCTGCAGGGAATGATCAATCGACTTGACGAGGAGGAGCGTCCTCTCTACATTGAAGAGGGCCAGTCGGGGTGCGCCCTGAACCCGTTCGACCCCGCCCGCATCAACTTTGACTTGCTCATGCTGCTGTCCATCCTCTATGTGGCCATTGTTGCGCCGCTCAAGATTTGCTTCGATGTTCCACACGAGACAGTGTTTTGGTTCACCATCGATCGCTTCGTGGATGTCCTCTTCATCACAGACAGTGAGTATGTGTGTGTGCGCCGGCATGGATGGATGGACTGACACACACAGAGGAGAAGGAAGGGCCAACGGTTGTGTTGTGTCTCTTGTTGTTTTCGCTGTGCTTTTAGTTGTGTTCAATTTCTTCACCGCGCATGAGGAGAATGCAGTCCTGATCATTGACGGGTGGGTTGGAATGGGCAAAGATGCCGTGTCTCTGTCATGTCAGGGCACGCCGTGGCATTTGTGTTGTGACCGGCTGCATTGCACGACGCAGACGGCGCAATGCCATTCACTACCTCAAGACGTGGTTCCTGCTCGACCTGGTGTCGTCCATCCCGTTGGAGTTCATCTTCTTTCTCTCTTCCGGCGCTTCTTCTCTCTCGGTCCTTCAGCTGCCCAGGCACGCTGCGCTGGCAAACAGCAACAAACACACACACAAATGTCCTCTTGATGTCTTGGTGTGTTCTGGTCTCTCTCTCTCTCCCTCTCTCAGGTTGCTGCGTATCATCAAGATCTTCAAGCTGTTCCGTCTGGTCCGCCTTTTGAAGCTGCTGCGGATCTTCACCCGGCTGGAGGAGTCTTTGCTACTGCGGTTCTCAGTCATGACGATCCTGAAGTTCTTCTTCTTCACGGCCATGTGGTGCCACTGGACCAGCTGCGTCTTCTATGTCCTCGCACGGAGCTCCTTCGACCAGAGCGGCAGCTTCTTCGACGACTCATGGGTGGGTGCGTGTGCCTTGATTGATACTATGGATGGATGGATGGATGGTGTGTGTGTGTGCGTGTGTGCAGGTGGTGGTGAAGGAGTATGAGGATGCGAGTGTGGACGCCAAGTATGCAGCGTCGTTCTACTTCGCCATGAGCACCGTCACCACCATTGGATACGGAGACATCACCGGAAAGAGGTGACAGGGATGGATGGAGGGAGGGAGGGAGGTTGTGTCAGCACCCTGCACTAATCTGTGGGTGGATGAATGGATGGCCGCAGCCGTGACGAGAGGATCTTCTGCATATTCGCCATGTTGATGGGTGCGTCCCTCTTTGCGTACGGCATCACCAACATCATTGAAATCTACTCGCAGATCGACGAGAAGAAGAACCGATTTCGGCTGAGGATGGACCGAATCAACATGTGTGTGTGTGTTGCGCGCGTGTGAATGTTATTGGAGTGTGCGTGTGGGTGCACTGCACATCCTATGTATGGTGTGCGTGTGTGCAGGTTTATCAAGGAGAACAAGCTGCCGCCAGCACTGAAGCAGAAGATCAGGGAGTACTTTCTGTTCATGAAGAGACACCACCTCGGGATGGCGGAGCATGCCGAGGAGAAGACCATTCTCAGTGAGCTGTCCACACCGCTCCTCACCGAAGTGACCAACTACATCAACAGGGACATACTTAGCAACATCCCATTCCTACAAGGCAAGGCACACACATACAGACAGACGAGCGCACTCGAAACCAGCCAGCCACCACATCTATCTCAGCCTATCTGCCTCCGCTGTGTCTGTCTGCAGGATGCAATCCGTACTTCACAGCGTCGTTCATATCGTTTCTGCAGCCGCGGTTCTACTCCCCTGGCGAAGTGATCATAAAGGAGGGCACATATGGCAGGTCCATGTTCATCCTCAACAAGGGGCTCGTGGAGGTCACTGTCAAGTCGCAGCGGGTGGCGCGGCTCGAAGACGGGAGCGTGTTCGGTGAGTGAGACCCTATGAATGGGGGGGTCTGTGGGCGTGTTGCGTCTCTCTGCCTCCCAGCCACACGAGACGTGATGTGTGCGCGTGTGTGTGGCCTGGTGGATGCAGGTGAGATCGCTTTGCTCGGCATCGTCAACAAGCGAACAGCCAGTAGGGCCATCCAACACACACACACACACTCGCACACGCACACCCGCACACACACATACACATCAGGCATAGCACGATCGATGGCATGTGTGCAGCCATCCGCACGCTGACGTGTTGCGACATGCGCGTTATCTCCCGGACGGCATTCAATCGGCTGCTGGCACAATACCCCGACGAAAGGAAGAAGTTCGAGATCGAGGCACAAAGGAAACTGCAAGAAGTCACGGAAATCGCGGTGGGTGCCGACACAGACAGACAGACAACCACATGTCTGTCTTGATGGGTGTGCATTGCACGGTGCGCATCGATCGCATGTATGTGGGTAGGCCAAACAGGGAGGCGGGCCACCTGTCATTTCTCCCAAAGGTAAGTAAGGTGGGTCGCTGTCGACACGCAAGAGCCTCATTGGCGCACACATCTTCTCTGTCTGTCTGTCTGTGTGTCTCTCCTTGTCCGTCCGTCGGTCTCTGTCTGTATGTGCAGATCAGGAGGAGCAGGATCACCGCGACCGGGACGAGTGGCTGCAGATGTGCTCTGTCTACCTACCGAGGCTCTCGCACACACAGCTGTCCAAGTTGCAGATGAGGATGAGTGCCGAGATGCTCTTACGTGTGTGTGAGAGGGTCGAGCGGTGATTAATTCCATCCACACTGATTGATTCGACAGACAGACAGACAGACAGACAGACCGGTCGATGATACTGATGTGATTGATATACATATTTGTGGGGCATGCAGGCATTTGCGCATGTGTGTTAGTTCTCGTGGGCGAGACACGATTTTGCACCCGTGCTGTGCTGTGTTCGTGAGCTCACGGGTGTCAATGAGAATTCAAGCATTCACGTAATCAGCCATGGGTAATCAGGCAAGGCATGGATGGATGGACTGTCTTGTCCGTCTGTCTGTCTGTCTGTCTGTCGCTCTTCATCCCGCCAGCCATGCGATGTCCGTCCATTGCACGCTGACAGGCCCACTCACTCTCAGTTGGGCAGCGTGGCCCTGACGGTCATGTCTGCTTTGGCCTCTGTGCCTGTCTTCGGTGCCTGTCTCTTGAGCTTCAGCGTGGCCGCACCCCACGCCGCCGTGCCCTGCCTGCCGCCCCTTGCCGAACTAGCCCCTGCCTGCAGCTGGATGACCTTGTTGTGGCTGTCGCAGGCGAAACACATCGTCACAAACAAACGCTGGGGCGTCACGGGCTGCTTGCCTGACACATACACACACTCGCACACAAGGTTGTGTGATGGAAGAGACATGCATGTCTTGCCATATCCGTTTGGCTGGCTGTCTGGCATATTGGCAGACCTTGTTTGAAGTGGTTGGCGAGCTGGCTGAGGTTTGCGATGGCGAAGCTGTCCTTGTGCTGGTGCTGCTCATGGGACAGTGCTGACTCAAAGGAAGACCGAAGGTGGGGCTCGAGTGACGCGACGAGCTTGGAAATCGAGTAGCGCGACCCCGTCTTGCTCGTCATGGCGTACGACCTCAACAGGTCATACCACTGGCGGCGCCGAGGCCGGCCACCCTCAGCCTGGCTGCCCATTGCTGTGTCTTCAACACCGCCCCCAGCAGCAGAGGAAGGCGCTGGAGACATTTGTGGCTGCGGCACGGGCGATGGCGAGGGACCAGGAGAGGGGGCTGGCTGCTGCTCCTGCTGCTGCGGCTGGTTGTGCTGGTGGTGCTCTGAGGAGGGAGGACGGTCGTTCTGTGGGGACGGGCTTGGGGGAAGGTGGAGGATGTTGGGGAGATCATTCTGTGATGCTGCTGCCGCCGCTGCTGCTGCTGCTGCTGCTGTTGGGTTGAAGTCGAGGAGTTCGTCGTATTCTTCGCAGTCCATCATCATCTGCCCGGCTGAGTGGGCCGGTGTGGGTGCGGCCATCATCGGTGGATCGTCGTCGGCCGGCGAGGCGTAGGGGTGGGCATTCTCCGCATCGTGACTGTTGAGCGCGAGACCCTCAAACGGATCCACATGACCCACACCTGCACAGCACACCGGTCAACATAGTACAGACACGCATCGATGGCACTCCAATTTGTGTCTCCTTGCCTTCCTGCTGCTGTGGGTCGTCATTGTCCGGGTCGTCGTCGTCCTCGAGCGGCGGTACGAACGCGAAGGGCATGGCCTGGTACAGGGCGGCGGGCGAGGAGGACGTCACCGCCAGCAGCTGAGGGAAGGATGACAGCCACGTGTTGATGTCCATACGCTTCATGCTCGACACTGCACACACACAGAGATACGGGATGTCTCCTCTGTGTGTGTCGGTGTGTCGGTGTGGGGGCGGGGAGGCTGACGTTGGGCGTGTGCATCCACTGATGCTGCGATGCCTTTGATGAGCTGGTCCTCCGACAAAACGAAAAGGCCATCACCGCCCCCGTCATCCGCGACACGCAAGGTCGCCCCACGATCCCTGCGCAGACTGGCGAGTGAGAGAGTGACAGGACTTTCATGGATCAAATCAATGTGTCCATGGATGTGCACGCAGGAACGTACCAGAACGCCTTCTTCCTGCCAGTGACGGGTGCAGTCGTGGGAAGGTCGAACACGTCGATACACAACTGACACCACCATCATCATCATCTCATCTCCTCATCTCAGCACAGTACAGCACGCTGGCTCGCCACCGTCCTTCCCCACCTACCTTGGTTGGCTTCTTGGCAGTCTTGGCGTCCTCCTTGCTGTCCTTAGTCCCCTTGCTCTTCTTGCGCTGCCGCGGCTTGTCGACCTTGAGATCCTCCTCGCCATCGCCGTCGAAGTGGCGCGCCTTGTCCTTGGCAGACGGCAGCAGCGGAGGGGGGGCAGCACACTCGCCGTCAGAATGAGCCTGACAACCACACATAATGGAAGGATGCGATGAGATGGGGGGATGAGAAAAGAGACAGACCTGGTCATGATTATCTTCGGTCTTTGCTTTCTTCTTGTGTGGCATGGGGGCAGGAGAGGGGGGCCTCTTGCTCTGGTCGTCGTCGTCGTCCACAGGATCGTCCAGCATCATGTCGTCAAACAGATGGGCCGCCTCTGATGCAGCAGCAGCAGCAGCAGCAGCAGCAGCGGCAGCAGCGGGTGGCGCATCGTCGTCCATCATCTGTTCGTCCTCGACACCGTCATCCATCATGGCATCGTCGCCACCACGCACCGGCGAGTCACCATCCGACGACTCGGAAATGTCATCTGAGCCAGAAAACACAATGCAAATGGGGCGACCTCTCCACTTCCTTACTAACTATCGGTGTTCGTCCACCTGTGAGGGTCGGCACATGCCATTCGGCGAGCGATTTGCCGAGCAGCTCGAGGAAGGCTGCGGACGGCTGCTGCATGTGCGTGTCATGAGGTGCGGTGGTGGGGACGGCTTCCTGCGGCTGGTGCGCGACGCTCATCTTCTTGACCTCCTCAAGCTGAGGCTTATCTGATGATATCGGATATCGGATGGAGGAGGGGAGGGAGACACGCGCGCAGAGGTGTGCACGGCATGTCTTCACGCGTGCACTCACCGAGCTTGTCGCCCGCGGATCTCTTGAAGATGTCCATGGCCTTCTTGAGGAAACTCGCGGTGTCATGCTTGTCCATCTGGAAACAGACACCCACACTCACTCACCCAGAGATGTGAATGGGCATGGTGCATGGTGTCATTGTGTCCATCCTTTCACGTATGTATGGGTGTGTTTCACTGACTGACTGACCAGCTCTTGGTAGTCGTCCCGACGGCAGATCTTCTCGTCAACATCCACGACCCGCTTACCTGCACCAGTGCAGCACCACAACACACAACAACCCATGCATGCCACACATCACACCCTCCCAACACACCAATACACGCACCCCGTTTCCGCGCCGCCCCCTCCTCTCCTTCCTCTTCCTCCTCCATCTCGTCGTCAGATGCACCCGCCGCCGCCCTCTTCTTGGCCGCCGCACCCTTCTTGGTCGATGCATTGCTGGTGATGTTGGCCAACAGACAGAGGGCAGCTGCCGAATCCTTGCGCAACCTAGCTGCACGCGACAGGGGGGCAGAGGGTGAGAGAGTGAGCAGGGCAGCCTTGGGGGCTGGCTGAGTGTTCGTGTGTGGACCTTCCATGGATGACACGAGGGCGGTCCTGCACTTGACATCCAGGGCCACACGACGGACATGCTCACTGATGCACAGCCACCCCCCCCCACACACACGGATGCGCGTCGTAAGTATATTCTCGTCCGTGTGTGCATACCTCAGTCTGTCGATTTCCTTCTCATCAGAAGCCGCCGCACCGCCTCCCTTTGAGCCATCGGTCAGCTTGCTGCACGGTCGGCCGGCGGGACACCAAATTCAAGCACCGCGAAGCAGATGCCAATCCACCAGGCGTGTCTGTTGTCGTGGTGCGATGGATGGCCTCACCTGGTAGTGTAGTTTGAGAACGTGAAGGGGTCCTTGGTGTGCTTCTGCAAACACAACACAGCAAAGACGCCACACCGACGACAACCACATTTCCCTCATGGCCACTGCATGTGATGGACGGGCTGTCCATGAAGCTCACCCTTGCACGGATTAGCTCATCGATGGTCTCGAGCGTCAACGTCTGCCCACAAACAGCCACAGATTCGTGGCACAGAAGGCGAGCGAGATGGAGAGATCCTGAACTTGAGTGTCGATGTCCTTTTTCACTCCACCTGTTTGCCCGCCACAATTCTCTTCATCGGCATGATGACAAGATGCTGGTCATGTCACGGCGGCCTAGGCACGGAGGGATGCGCATTCCCCGATCTTGTCTGTACATTAATTTGGTCGCGAAGCAGTGCGTCGTTTGCTTTGGTTTGCGGCATCGCAAGCAGTATTATCATGGCGTGGTACGATTGCGCATCGTTCGGTGGATGGACACGACTGGAAAAGTGTGTGGTGTCTATACAGACCGGCGCCGCTAAGCCAGACTGGAAAAGGGCACACCACCACTGAAAACACCTTCACTCTTGCTCCAGGCAAGCGCTCGGCCTTGTCACTGCTTGTTGCATCGCAATCTGCCCCCTCGACCTGCCCGCCGTGCCGCGGCCAGCAGCGCCCGACACACCACCTTGCCGACAAGGCAGCCGCGGAGGCACTGACGTGCTGTGGGGCGGAGGGAGGCCGCTTATCTGCATCGACGGATGTGGCGGCGCGTACAGGTAGAAGGGGCCGACAAAGCATTGTGGCAGCGCCGATGGACCGGGCCCTTCTAGTTTTGGCCCCTGTCTTGGCAAGATGGGGCGGAAATGCAGAGGGGATCTGCTGACGGGGACGGGCGAAAGGTCCTTGATGCCGCCGTTGTCGGCAGCCGCTGGCGCAGAAGCTCCAACGCCACTGGAAGCCTCATGGTTCTCACCGGCAGTCGGGGATGACGTCTTGACTGCCGGACTGTCGCTGGTCTTGGGCATGACAAAGGACGCTGCCTTGCCGCCCTCCGCCTCGAAGATCCGCGGCGTCATGTCCGGGAACTCATCGAAGGGTGAGGCGAGAAAATCCGTCCCGGAAGGGCTGGCGAAGCCCGGCCGCCGTCCGTCGGGCCGCACCTCTTGTGCCTTGGGGTCGGTCCCAGCAACCGCCTCCCCGTAGGGCACATCCACTTGACCTGGCGGTGATCGCGCCTCAGACAAATCGCCGAACTCGCTGTGGCTGCATGAGGGCCACACACTCGTCGCCGTGTGAGAGCTTGCTGCGACAGGGAGAGGGGGAGGGGGGGCTTGCGCTGAGGGCGAGGGCGGTTTCTTGAGCTGTCCGATCCAGCTGTCTGCCTCCTTGGCCGCAGCCTCATCCTCCGCCTGGTGGTCGGGGGCTGGCTCCTCTGTTGCTGCTGCGGGCGGTAGAGCTGGTAGAGCTGATGTGGCCTCTGACGAGTGGGTGGGTGGAGGCTTCTTGGGCATGTCCTCGTCACTGTCGGTGTCGTTACTGTGGCCGCCGAAGCACTGGTGGAGAGGTGGTAGAGGGTCGTCATCGTCCTCCTGCATGAGACTGTCGCCGGGGAAGACGCAGCCGCCGATCTGTCTGTCGTCCTCCTTGCCCAAGCCGAAAGGGTCGTCTGCAGGCAGGTTGATGAGCCGCTCATACTCGTCATCGTCAAGAGCTGCAGCAGGCGGGAGAGCGGGTGGGAGAGGGGCTGGCGGTGGCAGTGCGTGCGGCTGTCCCACGCCCTTCTCCTTCTTGGTGGACGCCACACCGGCAGCACCAGCACCGTTGTCACCTTCATCGCTCTCGGCAGAAGAGCTCATGGGTGCGTCAGACGCGGAAGGACTGGGGGGATCCACGAAGTGAGGCATCTCCTCAAAGCCCCCGCCCTCGCCAGCAGGTGGCCCCGCCTCACCCTCCCCATGGCCCCAGCCCTGTTCCACCTCACCGTCTTGTGCAATAGGAGCCGTCCCAGCAGCCATCTCCACTCCACGGCCGGCGGGCACGGCCATTTGAGCTGGCGATGATCCGCGAGACCCCAAATCAAAGGGAGGTGGCGGGAATGAGGGCCTCACCCGCTGGTCTTGTGCGGGCGGGCTGGACATTGCGATGAGCGGAGCGGTGGGGGGCGGACGGGGCATCGGCGGCCGCCGAGCAAAGGGGGCACCAGCAGCAGTACATGCAGCCGAGCCGACGACAGAGCGGACAGAGCCGAAGGGTCGGGGGGGTGGCGGCATCTGTGGTGGCGAGAGTATGTGGCCTGTTGCCAGTGGCATCGGAGAGTAGGTGCTGGGCCCGCCCGTCGACATGCGGATTTCGTCGAACAGGCCGACAGGGGGCACCCCCCGTTTGTTGTTCCCTCTGCGGGGAGGAGGCGGCCGCACCCCCACCCACGGCAAGGCCGGTATGGTGGACTTGACCAGCTCCTGTTGCAGCGCCCTCTTCTGAGCTATGGCCCTGAGCAGCTCTGCTTGCTCCAAGGGGTCCTGTGTGACCCAGTGCCTCTGGACCAGCTCCGCCACGTCCCGCTGCATCGACGAACTGATCGCCTCGACGATCGGCGCGACCTCCTGTGCCCGCCTCTGCTCCCACTGCTCCCAGTGCATGGGTGCCGTCCCCCGCCTGACCCTCTTGGTCTCCTCCCCCTCCTCCTCAACCTGCTGCTGTGGCACCCCCCGCTCTCTCTTGACCGCCAAACCAACACCACCGTCAGATACAAACCCCATGGATCCGCGCAGGTGCGAGGGGTCTGGGCTGCTGCGGTCGGGGTCATCTTCCTCATCGAGCATATTGAGGGTGGGGGGCTGAAACGGGTCCAGGGAGAGGCCGGCAGCAGGGGCAGCGACCGGTCCGGGCTCGGGTGCGGGGGCCTGCGTGGGCTGCCGCTCGAGCTCCTTCTCGGTCGTGAGGAACTCCACCAGCGCACCCATATAGAAGTCTAGCGTCGCGCCTTGTTGGAGGTACTGAAGCAAACAGTAAAAGAGAGACAGACCGGATGGTGCACTCACATGTCTGTCTGTTGGTGGAGGTAGGCGTGTGCGTGTGTGGCTGGCTTGCCTTCTGACGCCACTGGTCCTGCTCGGCAGTGGGCAGATGGCGGAATCTGACCCATCCATCCATCCATCCACATGTGAGTGAAGAGCTCTGTGGCTCGATCGCTGCCGTGTGTGTGTGTGTTTGGTTACACTTCGATGAGTATGTGGGGCTGGTCCAGCGGGAGTGCGGTGCCACGAGGTAAGATACCCTGCTCATTCATCTGATCGGACCAACCAACCAAGCAACCCACCAACCAATAGCAACAGCCAGCAACGGCCACATGGATGTACTGGATGGATGGATGGATGGATGCGCCGTCTGCTCATCTTGGCTAACTAACAATGATGGTCTCTGTGTGCCTGGCTAGACTCACTCACTCAGTCACTCACCTTTGCGGCCCATTGCTGTTCTGGCGGCCTCGGTAGCTCCAAGCCTACCTCAGCCAGAGTGCTGCACATACGCAACCAACCACAGAGGATGCACCGCGCTTCCTCGTTTGGGCTGTGTATATGTTAACACGGCTCGGCTCACCTGTGCAAGGTGTTCAACTTCTGCACGTTTCGCGTCGCCCAGTAGGCGCGTTCGCTGGTAGCCAAAGTGCTCCATATCTTCTCGTACTTCTGACGGAGGACGGACGGACCAACACACGCACACACACGTCCACATCCATACATGCGCTTATATGCTCATTGGATGGATGGAGAGTCGCATACCTGATCCCGCTCCCTCTCTGTAGAGGGCCGCGTGTTGTCCCCATCGCCATCAGCAGGAGGAGGCACCGTCATCTGAACGACCAACCGACACATGCACACAGAACCCATATCTGCAGATGGATGACCCTCACCCACTCGCTCACTCATCTCTGTGTGACCGCACCCACCCACCCACCTCCTGTTTGAACAGCGCCTTGGCCGTCCTGCCCTGCACCAGCCACGAGCAGCCCAGCTCCCCCAGTCTGTCCACGAAGGCCCTCAGGGCCGCTGACACAGGTGGCGATGAACCGGGCAGCGTGTGGCCTGCCGCCATGCGGTGCGCTCGGTGGCCCTGCCAGTACATGCTGAAGGTCTGCAGCTCCTGGACGATAGACTGCTGAGGCGTGGCGACCGATGGAGCTGGGGAATCATCCTGATCCCTGTCAACATACACACCACACGGAGAGAAGGACAGAGAAATGACGGAAGCGAAGCGTCCTGCTGTCGGAATGCATTCGATTACATGTTTGTCATCGCTTGTGGCGACTCGTCTGTCATGCTCGCGCCGCATAGACCATCTCTACGGTTGCGGTCGGGATGATGGCCGATGCATCCAGGTCATGGCTGTTTCCTCGACGCACACAACACGGTCGGTGTGCTTCCCTCTGTAGGAATTACTGAAATAACCCCGGTTCTTCCTTGGTTCGGCCAACAGCTCGCATCTTCTAGCCGGACTTTCTGGCCGTGATGGTGATGGGGTGATACGTCAACAACGGTTTCCTGATCCGTGAGTGTTGCGGGTGTTGACTCAACACTGTTGAGGTTTCGGAAATGCCGATGTTGTTCAGCCGCGGTCATGCCCGGCAGGGCAGCAACGACAGCCGCATCTTGGAGGACGGCGTTGATCCGCCTGATGACTGGAATTGGTTCATCATTCAGCCCCTCAAGGCGTGTTTGGTCCTCTGCAGCGGCCTTCACCACAGCAGGGCGGAGGAGGTATGCACGCGTCGCTCATAGGAAGGCAAGCCGAGTGCATGGTCGGTTGCACGTGGCTGTGTGGCTGTCTGTCAGTCTGAGATGCGGGTCACTTTCCCGAGCGCCACGAGATACCCGCCCCATAACGAGTCTGCTGACGACGACCTCGTCGTCAAGTACCACTCAGGGCGGCTCAAGAAGCGGTGAGCAGTGCGCCGTCACAACAAAGGTTTCCTTGCCAATGAACTCTCCCCCTGTGTCTGTGTGTTCTCAGCCTTAACGTAGTGGAGGGGGAGATCCTAAGGCTCCGCCGCCGGGGCATGCCCTGCTGTGCCAACGGAGGGTCAGCCATCCATCCACCGATCCACCCATGCGATTGATTCTGCGGGGTGTGTTGTGTGGTTTGCTGGTGTCGGCTTGTTTGTGTGCAGGAGCGGTGAGGTAGAGGACGAGATCCGGCAGGAGCGGGCGAGGCTGAAGCGGGAGCAGATCGAGATCTACCAGAAGCTCTACAACATACAAGACTACCTCAAGGACAGGTCAGGCAAAGTCAGGCAGAGCAGCACCAACCAAACCAAACCAAAGGGAGAGAGAGAGGCAGAGGCGTTCGTTGTGTGCGTCTGCCATATATATGGTGCGTATGTATACCCTTGGCACAGGCGCCGCTACCCCGACAAGCGCATCCCGCTGCCCGACATGAACCTCCCGGACGTCGGCAGCGGCACAGCAGACATGTATGCGCCGAGGGGTGAGGTGCCGACATCGATGGTGCGCGTTGGAGTCAGTCGACCAGCGACTACTTCAACAACCGGACAGCGCCGGGTGGAGAGGGGCAAAGGCGTGCGCAGCTCGCTGGCAGAGAAGGAGGAGGTGGTTGGGGCCTCCTCTTCTTCTCCTCCTTCTTCCAAACAGACGCGCTCACGGGTGGGTGGGTGAAGGAACGGTCGCATGGTGG